GTAGCGAAAATCGTTTGACGAAATGTTTCAAGCCATTCATAATGGTTATGGTTAAGATATCAAACAATTTTACTTGACACAACTTTTTATCGGTGATATTCAATGCTTAGACTATTCAAGGTAGACTTACAGAAGGAATAATTTAGCATAATGTTTATCGGATTTTAATGTTCAGCTACTGTAATTCCTGAAAATAGAAAGGAAGAAGCGCTGAAGTGACATGTAATGTGTGTGTGCAAACGTGTGGAGCCAACAAGATTTGTCCTATTGTTTGGATGAATTAATTAATCCATTTTTGTCGAGTGACTCGCACATCTTTCCATTTTGTAAAATTATTCACTTATATCTCGGTTGTTTTAATTTGAGTGTTTGGGTGTGTGTGTGTGTGTGCTGATAACTTCGTTCATTACATGTACATGCTATTTTGTCTGACTATAAATTCTCAGTGATGCCTTGTCTGATCGAGTCGGTTCTCTTCCAATCTGCATTTCGCTTTGCATCTTTGCCTCATATTTTCGTGTCTGTCTACATGAACGCTTGCATGAGGTAAACCTGTTGCGTTATCAGATTCGATGTAGAGACCACTACTTCGGTGATGCGCAACTGCATATTAATGAGCATTTAAGTATACTATGAAATAAATCTCTCCATCTTTTTCCGTAAACTATAATTAGGCGAACACTGTTTGTGTGACGGCGTCCATAATAAGCCAAATTCATATTGTGTTGGATGAGTTTATTTCAGACGAATGTTCATGTAGACATGAGAATGAAAAGCAAACAATCAAACCATAGCAAACCGAAGTGAAGTGAATTAAAGTGAATTGAAGTGGTGAAGTCGAGAGAGTGAACTACACTCAACTAACCATGACTGAGAATTTATAGTTAGACAAATATAAGCTGGACATGTAATAAGTGAGATAGGCATGCACGTGAATAATTTAAAGGGACGCAGATAGGAGTGAATGATTGACAAGGCCAAAAGAAAAGTGAGCCAAATAATTTGTTCTAAAGCTAGGACGGGTCATCTGAGCTAGATAATAACAGCGATCATTACAAACCCATGCTGCTAAATCCGTATTTGCTTTCTTATCACAACTGTCACACAAACGGGCTTCGCCGAAGACTATATGGTATACCGAATTGAATGGAATGTTTATTTGACAGCATACTCGATCATTCGTCCAAACTGGAGTCGGATTTCGGGCCATCAGATAGTGGTGATTATTTGGTCGAATTTACCGCAGCCAGTAATGACGATGGCGATTCGCACTTTCATTTTCCAATCACAATTTAATCTGTCTTTCATAATTGTTCCTTTACCTGTTGATGCCAGTTTGATATGCTTTAAAGTGATGCAATTTCTTGGAGATGGAAACGAAATCTTGTGAAATAATTATGCGAACAGTTGCACGAATATCTTTACACAGAATATGTCATATATATAAGAGTATTTGCCAAAGTGTTTGTGTAGTCATTTTTCTGGAGTCACAGTGTCATGTCTAAACAATGATTCTACCTTTTAATGTGAAAATGTATCGTGTGACCGTTAGGGTTAACTGCAAACGTTTGTTATTCAGTACAACAATTGATGAACATCATCGCTGTTTTTACCTATAGGGTGAATTGTGACATCGTTTAAACTCACTACACTAAAACTGCTAAAGATATCAGAGTTGTTCAAACATTTATTTTCTATTTGTTTTACACAATTTTCTATGATTTCTTGTCCATCTCACTCTATAAAATGGTAATCATTTAAATAACTGTTCTTGAGGAGAGTGATAACTTTACCAATCACAATAATGCAAGTAAACCAGTGATATATCTAGGTTGGAATTGCAAGTATTAGTCAGTGTTTGTTGGTGGTTGTTCAGTGCGTAGCCGAATGATCCGCCTCACTATTGTGATGAAAACGTGATAGCTAAATTATAAGGTTGATTTTGAGTGACGTGAAAAGCAGTCAATCGTGTTTCTTTGAGATCACCTTTTTCTGTTGATTCGGAAAAAATCTGTTTGTGTGAAGTGTAGGGAAATCTGTGAGATCATGGTGGTCATAGGAGTTTGAATATTTTCCGAAAGTTTAATAATACGTTCCCGAACTAATTATATTGGAAATGTTACAAATGGATTTGATCCAACTGAGCAAGATTCTATATAGATTATTTTCTGGAAAATTCACACAATATCTCAATCAATATTCTTATTAAGGAAACCGTCGAATGGTTGGCTATGTGCAGTTGTGAGTCGAAACAAGAACGAACATTGTCAGCTCTAATATTAGTTAGCGAGGCGCTAACATTGTAATTTATTTGATAATCAACTCATGTTAAAGAAAATACGATCGAAATCTCTCATTAAGTTAAAGTGTGTGTAGAGAATGTATTCAGCCGAAAGCCAATATTTACCGAATTCAAAAGTGCATTTCCACCTAAGTCAGGAATAAAATTATCTGAACCACAATGCTAACCGCGTTCTGAGTACAATGAAAATGTAATTCTACAGTGGTTTTACATATTTCACAAACACTCAGGAATGTCCGTTTGTAAAGTCCATTGAATCTGGATAGCGGTTGTATCAGTCGTATAACGATAACACGCGAAATCAATTCCATAGTGAGAAAGGTGTGTTTTGTGGGTAATGCATCGTTGAAGTAACACTTACGTCTGTAATTTATCATTTGTTGGATCCGACCAAACAGTGGGAAACTGGGAGAATTTGTGAAAGTGAGAAGTGACAAGTACAATCCATTCACCAATACAATTGGTTAAGTTTTTCTGTCCCAATGGAAAAATAATATGGTGTGACATCTGTAGTGAGCATATTCCATTGCTTGAAGACTTGAAGACTGTTGAATCAACGAGGGCACAACAGCTGACCAACTTATATCAAACACAGTTTGGTAAATTTGAACCGACTGTGTATAATCGGACACACCAGATGTTATGATAAATCAGGAGTTGATTGATGATGCATACAGCTGGTGTTGGAGAGTATGTATCTATTTCCTCATCCGTATGAAATACTGTCGATGCAGGTTAGTGCTTACGAATTCCGTACATGATGGTTTGCATACCCATGTGACATTTAAGTTGTTCAGGCTGTTCAGGCTAAACGCGACTTTGTTTAGCTGACTTCAAAGGATTGCGGCACAGTGTGAATGTGTGTCCATGTGAGCTGTTCGCTTGCGTGAAAGAACGTGCGACAAAACAGTGAGTGTTTAGTGAACAGAGGACGATAAACATTCCGTCAGCAATGTGGTGTCTAAATCATACACTCGCCATAAAATGACGCTGAAATACTAAGACTCGTCGATGACACGAATAACTGCAACCAAAATGGAACAAATCCTTACAATTCTGTGATTAGAAATAGTATTCCAGTCAACATTCAAATCATTGAGCATAAGAAATAAAAAAAAATCAGTTGCTATCTTTCTCTCAACATGTTCCTCACTCACATTCGCTCTTTATTTTTCATCATTCTATCTTATTTTGTTTTTGGTTTTTCTACTTTTCTCATTTCAGAATCAAACTTCAATGAGACAGCGGAAACAAATAGTTCAGACCATGTGGCAGTTGATCTAGCGTCTATACATGTTGTGAAAAATAATACTTTTACCATTACTGATACTAATACTACTGCTGCTACTTCCCCTACGAGTGCTACTACTACAATATCGACCGCTACTGCTACTACTAATAATAATGATAATACAGCTACTACTACTGACACTAATACGAATTGTTCGATTACTGACACTGCCACTACTGATGCCACTTCGCCTACGAGTGCTACTACTATAATATCGACCACTACTACTATTATAAATAATAATAATACTGATACTATTACTTACACTAATACGAATAGTTCGATTACTAACACTGTCACTACTGATGCTACATCTGCCATTGATGAAGTCAATCAATCGAGTGAGTAAAAGATTGTTCACAATATCCAATCGAGCAGGGTATGTTTTATTTTGTGTGTTTTGACAGAACATGCAATCATCAGTGAATTGATCCGTTTGAAGACTGATGTGCAAAGGCGGTTGGAGTATTTTATGTAGGCCTCATCCAAGCAGTAATAATAATAACGTTCATAAAAATTTACTTATTTTGTCGGTTGACAAAGGAATGAAAAGTCAAGATGCTGGATCGATTCGATTTCAACGGCTGTGTTTCTGTGATATCAGATTTTAGTGTATCACTCATCCTCTAATACTTGCATGTTGGATTGTGGATTTGTCAAAAGTCATTTGACCGAATGTTTCAAGCCTTTTATAATATCAGTCTTTGTTGGGTTGAGCTAAATATATTTAGTATTTCAATGAAGTGATCCTCAGTGCACTCGTTTTGGTTGTTTGCAGGTGTTATGTAGTACTACTGCAGAATACTGATTTAATGGGATCAGCTGCAATCAGTTTCGTTTTTTGTAATTATATGTTGATTTGAGTGTCGTTTTATACTTGTATTTCGATATAATTTGATAGTTTTGAGTAATATTTCTCGTAGTTTGCTTTTCACTGTATGTGAGTTCATTCACCTGTTTTTGTTTTAAATGTTGTTAACTAGTGTGACTGTAAATAGGAATTAAAGTGATCTATATGAACATACATTCATCGTCGACTGTAATCAGTTGATGATTGGTTAACTGAATGGTATAGATTGATGTGTCTGTTAACTGAACTATGGGACTAGAGGGTTATATGAATTTCCATTAGTATAACAAAGAAGCTTCTAATACATTAGTTTGTACATCGATTTCTTACCCGTTGCCCAGTCCAGGCTAGGCACCATTTTGTTTACCTGAGCTGAGGTGAACAAGAAAATTCACATTGAAATACTAAGACCGATCAAACACACGAACAATTGCAAATAAAATGCAACAAATCCTCACAACTCTTTGAATAGAGATAGTATTCCAGTCAACATTCAAATCATCAAGAATAACAGACAGAAACAAAAAATCAATTTATCTCTCTTTATTTCTCTCAACATGTTCCACACTCACATTCGCTCTTCATTTTTGATCAATCCACCTTATTTTGTGTTTGGTTTTGATGCTTTTCGCCCCTCAGAATCATCCTTCAATGAGACAGTGGAAACAAATAGTTCAATCCATTCAACAGTTGATCTAGCGCCTATAGATGATATGACAAATGATAATTTTACCACTACTGACACTGACACTATTGCTGCTACTTCGTCTACTAGTACTAATACTACGATTTCAACAACAACAACTATTACTACTACTACTAATATTAATAATACTGCTACTACTACTGACACTGACACGAATAGTTCGATTACTGACACTGTCACTACTGATGCTACATCTGCCACTAGCGAAGTCAATCAATCGAGTGAGTAAACGATTTTTCACAATATCCAATCGAACATTGTATGTTATATTTTGTTGTGTGTGTTTCGACTGAACATGCACTAATGAGGGAATTCGGCTTTGGCGAATGTCGTTTTACAGAATGTTTCAAGCCCTTCATAATGGTTATTATTTCATAAGAAATCAAACAATTTTACTCAACACAACTTTGTAACGGTGAAGTTAAATGTTTAGTCTCTTTACCGTAGACTTACAGAAAGAATAAAGTAAAATAATGCTTATCTGTGCTTAAAAGCTTGTTGCTATAATTCATGGAAGTAGAAAGGATTGAGCGCTAAAGTGACATGTAGTGTGCGTGCAAATCTGTCATGCCGACATGGTTAAACCCAATCTTTTGACTAATGAATTAATCCATTCTTTTCGATTGATTCGCACATCTTACGATCTTGTGATTTATTTGCTTATACTTTGGTCGTTTATAATCGAGTGTTTGTGTGTGTGTGTGTGTGTTCTGATAACTTCGTTCATTACATGTCCAGGCTATTTTACCTTACTATAAATTCTTAGTGATGCTTCGTCTTATAGAATCGAATCGCTCGCAATCTGCACTTCGCTTTGCTTCTTTGCTTCGTATCTTCGTGTCTGTCTACATGAAGGCTTGCACGAAGTCAACCTTTTGCGTTATTAGATTCGAAGTAGGGTTCACTACTTCGGTGACCTGCGACTGCATAATTAATACCATTTAAATATACAATGAAATAAATCTCCTCATCAGTCTGCGTATATTTAACTGAGGCGAACCTCGTTTGTGCGACGGCGCATAGCTTGAAGACTTGAAGGCATTTGTATGAACGAGCACACAACAACGAGCCAACATAAATCAAACAGAGTTTGGTGAACTCAAATCGATTCTGCTGACACTTCATTCATCAACTCGATAATTTCACATGCGTCATCTAACAGACTAGCTGTTACGATCAATCAGGGCTCGATTGATGATACACGAAGTACATCAGAGAAGATAAAAATTAGTTCGGCACATTGTGAGTGTTTGTCCATGTGATCTGTTCGTTCGCATGAAAGAACGTTTAGTGAGCGAATCCGGATACCAGATTGACTATGCCCACCACTAAATGTTCCATACGGTTGCGTGACGAAAAGGAGAACAAAATAAATTAATACTCCATGGTTTATTGAAGGAAAACGTTGGCGTTACATAGGGAGCAGCAAATGGAGAAACATGGCGGCAACGCGAAGAGAACGTTGCGCGCAAGAAACCGAAGAAGGGTTTTTGGTACAATTAAACAAAACGAGTACAATAATGTTTATCTTTCACATATCGTATTTTCTTCGTAGAAGCGTTCCACTACAAACGTGTGACAAATCAGTGAGTGTTTGGTGAATAGAGGACAATAAACATTGCGTCAGCGTTGTGGTGTCTAAATCATTCACTTGTCATAAAATTAACACTGAAACACAAGAACGAGCACAACCAAAAATTAAACAAATCCATACAACTCTGTGATTAGAAATAGTATTCCAGTCAACCATCAAATCATCCAGAATAATACACAAAAACAAAAACTCGAATTCTCTCTTCCTCTCCTTCTCTCAACTTGTTCATCACTCACATTTGTTCTATAATTTTCATCATTCCACCTTATTTTGATTTTGATTTTTCTACACATTTGAAATCATTAATCAATCATCATTGTTAGACCACCATTAGAAACCTGGAAGCACTGGACGGCCGTTTCGTCCTAGTATGGGACTCCTCAGCTGTGCGCATCCACGACTCCTGCTTCTCGCAGGATTCGAACCTGGGACCTTTGGCATTGTAGGCGAACGCCTTACCATCGGACCACTGGGCCGGCATCCAACGGTGTTAATGTCTAACTCTGATTGATCTAGGGATTTTGCGCGACCTCACCCATTTGTCTTTTGATTTTTCTGCTTTTCTCCCTTCAGAATCATTCTTCAATGAGAAAGTGGAAACACTTAGTTCAGACCATGTGACAGTTGATTTAACGCCTACTAATTCCGTAACAAATAATACTTTTACCACTACTGATACTGACACTACTGATGCTACTTCGTCTACTATTGCTACTACTACAATTTCAACAACAACAGCTATTGCTACCACTAATACTAATAATACTGTTACTACTACTGACAATGATACGAATAGTTCGATTACTGACACGGTTACAAATAACACTACAACTGCCACTGATAAAGTCAATGAATCAAGTGAGTAAAAGATTTTTCACAATATACAATCGGACATGGTATGTTGTATTTTGTTGTGTGTGTTTTGACAGAGCATGCAATCATCAGTGAATTGATTCGTTTGAAGGCTGATGTACAAAGGCGGTTGGAGTATTTTATGTAGGCCTCATTCTACCAGTAAAGATTATGATACTCGAATTGTATCAGAGAAGAGAACAATTAGTTCGGTACATTGTGAGTGTTTGTACATGTGATCTGTTCGTTTGCGTGAACCAACGTGTGACAAAACAGTGAGTGTTTGGTTAACAGGGGAAGATAAATATTGCGTCAGTGATGTGGTCATCAAGAATAGCAGAACGAAACATAAAATCAGTTTATCTCTACCTCTCTTTCTCCCAACGTGTTCCTCACTCACATTTGTTCTATATTTTTCGTCATTCCGCCTCAGTTTGTTTTTGGTTTCTATACTTGTCTCCTTTCAGAATCATCCTTCAATGAGACAATGGAAACAAATATTTCACACCATGCAACATTTGATGTAACGCCTACTGATGCGGTAACAAATAATGCTGTTACCACTACTGATAATGACACTACTGCTACTACTAATACCACTACTAGCGCTACTACTACGATATCAACAACAACTACTACTATTAATACTAATTGTACTACTGACACTGACACGAATAGTTTGATTACTGATACTGTCCCAATTAATACTACAACGGCCACTGATGAAGCCAACCAATCGAGTGAGTAAAAGATTGTTCCTTATGTTCAATCAAACATGAAATGTTATTTTTTTGTTGTGTGTTTTGACAGAACATGCACTAATGAGTAAATTGATCCGGTTGAAGACTGATGTGCAAAGGAGGTTGGCGTATTGCATGTAAACCTAATTCTAGCAGTATTAATAATAATATTAATAATAATTTACTTATTTTGTGGGTTGAAAAAGTAATGAAATGACAAGATTCTAGATAGATTGAATTTAGAGGGTTATGTTTCTGTGATATCAGATTTCTGTGTATCACTGATTCGCTAATTGATGCATACCTTCATGTTGGACTGTGGATTTGTCAAAAGTTGTTTGACGGAATGTTACAAGCCTTTCATAATATCAGTGTTTGTAGGCTTGAGCTAAATATGATTTATCTTTCAATTGGTGTTCCTCAATCCACTCGTATTGGTTTTTTTACCGGTGTTCCATAGTAGTACTGCAGAATATTGATTTTATGGAGGCAGCTGCAGTCAGTTTTGTTTCTGTCTTTAGATCTTGATTCGAGTGTCATTTTATACTTGTATTTCAATATAATTTGATAGTTCTGTGTAATATTTCGTATGGTTCGTTTTTTATTGTATTTAATTGTAATCTCCCATTTCTGTTGTTGTTAACTTGTGAAACTGTGAATATGAGTTAAGGCGACCTATATGAACATATATTCATCGTCGACTTTAATCTGTTCATGATTGATTAGCTAAATGGTATGGATTGATGTGTTTGTTGATTGAACTATGAGACTAGACGGTTACATGAATTTTAATTAGTATAACAAATAAGCTTCTAGGTACATTGGTTTATATATCGATATCTTACCCGTTGTAACATTTTGAATGATGATATTAATCTGTCTATTTACGATTTAATTTGAATTAGATCCTCTATGTTAAGATCTGTACTGCGTTCAATTTTTCCACTGATTATCTGTTTCATTTCTCTTTTCCCATGATATTCAAATTTTCAGTTAGAGCTTTGAAGATTTGTGTTTTTACACATTTGAAATCATCAATCAATCATTGTTAGACCGCCATTAGAAAGCTGGAAGCACTGGACGGTCTTCAATTTCTGGTATGGGATTCATCAGCAGTGGTCTAACAATGATTGATTGATGATTTCAAATGTGTAAAAACACAAATCTCCAAAGCTCTAACTGAAAATATCGTAACAGTGCTCACTAGTGACTAGCTTCGTGAGGAAATTCTCGGAGTTCTAGTTGAGAAGACGTGACCAATGGAGTTCAACCCTGTCCGGTGTAGACAGTAACTACCAAAGACAAATGGGTGAGGCCGCTCAAAATCCCTAGATCAATCAGAGTTAGACATTAACACCGTTCGAGTGCCAGCCCCGTGGTCCAATGGTTAGGCGCCGGCGCACAACACCAAAGGTCCTAAGTTCGAATCCTGTGAGGTGAAAGAGTCGTGGATGCGCATTGCCACCGACGAGTCCCATACCAGGACGAAACGGCCATCCAGTGCTTCCAGGTTTCTAATAATGGTGGTCTATCAATGATTGCTTGATGAATTCAAATTTTCATTCCACGTAATCCTTTTTTTTTCAGATACTGTTGAATATTCAAGATTATTACCTCCGGACAATGTGACAATCACAAATATCACCTCGGATTCATTTGTTATTTTATGGCATCTATCCATTTCTCCTAGTCGATCGAGTGCTTTCGCTTATGAAATATTGATAAATAGTCCACAAAGGCCTGCGATTATTATTATTAAAAAAAATGCTTCAAATTCTTTTCAATTGAACGAACGCATTGATAATTTAACATCATGTAGTTTTTATGTTGTGCAAATTAAAATACATGATTTAACTCGGATGAAATCAAGTGATTGGTCAATGCCAGTATTGACAACTACTCTGATGCCACGTAAGTTAATGATTGAAATATAACGACTAAATTAAATCTTTATACTTATTCAAACTAAAAAATTTGTAGAGCTATGATCTTTAAGATATGATTGAGATGTTTTCATATTACATCTATGATGTTAATTTGGTATCTTCAAATTTAGTGTTGGGGACGTTACATCACCACAAATCACTTGGAAAAACTCCTAATTTTGGATTTTTTTTCTTGTGTTTTCGCGCATAAGCTGCTCATTTGACCTTGAGGTCACATTTGGCACTCCGGAAAATCCCTGACTGTCATTGGTTGATGGATTATTTTAGTATGCTATTTTTGTGGCTCTCTCAAGGACGTTTCTGTCATTGTATAAATAAGGTCGATTTGTGCGCTTGTCAACCTCGTGTTTTTCTGGTTGCTTGTAGAATACACTTTCTACTCCTTATCAAAACTTCTTGATACAGTTAGCCGGGCCGAGGACAAACGGATTAGAATAGTCTATCGTGTCACTGCATCACTGGATCTGCGCTCCGTTAACTGAGTAAGGTGTACTTGTAATAGCATTCAAGCATATCAGTTGATGAGCATATCATTTAGAAATTTGAGGAATTATTTGAGTTTACCAAGCACTGAACAGTTTTTTTTGGTTTTACTTAGGTGGATTTCGAAAGTGAACACGCACTATTTCAAACCATCGACTTATTATTCTTATAGTTGGTACCGAATGCAAAGTCTCTAAGTTATAGTCCAGTGGTTCATAGTTCTAACTTCTGTTAATACTCTCTTATAACTTTCTACAATAATCCTAATTAATTATTGATTCTAGTCATTAACATGTTTAATAGCGTTCATTGAAATAAATAAAACCATTGATCAGAATGTTGAAATTAGTAAACGCATGACGGGGTTGTGAAGATTGTCAATTTTAGACCACCATCAGAAAGCTGGAAGCACTGGACAGCTGTTTCATTCTGGTATGGGACTCATCATCAGTGGCAGTGCGCATCCACGACTCCTGCACCTCGTATGATTCGAACCCAGGGCCTTCGGTAGAGTGCGCGAACGCCTAACCTCTGATCAAGTTAGACAGTGACATCGTAAGATACCAGCCCCGGTGGTCCAGAGGTTAGGCGTTCAAGGCGCACAAGACCGAAGGTCGTGGGTTCGAATCCTGCGAGGTGCAGGAGTCATGTGTGCACACTGCTGATGAGTCCGATACCAAGACGAAACGGCCGTCTTTCAGTGCTCCAAGGTTTCCAATAGTGGTCTAAAATTGATCGATTTATGGTTTCAAAAATGTGTAACATAATAAATTTTAGTTGTTTGGAGTTCCAGTTATTTTTCAATTGTAGAAATACTCTACTTGCTTTGCCAATCTATGCCTGCGTCGAATCCACCTTGATTGTCGATGATGATCATGCTGCTGCTGCTTAGATATGTAAATGTTATCACCTCCTCCTTTAAGGCATTTTCATCAAGTGGGATTTGTTTGAGGCATGTGATAGTGTTGTACCAGAGCTACAACATATTCACATTATGTTACTTCTGTTTCTTTCTCTCAATACTTTGTTTTTTTATCTGTTTATTCGTATTTATCAAAAAACCATATAGATCATATTATTCAAACGTATTTTGAAGTAGAAAATCTCACTCCAATTAGTCAAAAAGTAAAATGGAGTAAATTATGCATACCAAATGAATGTATAGCATTAATTCAATTAGTACAAATCAATGCAAAAACTTTCCATGAATTCACTATCAATTTACCAATAAATGAAACAGGTAATTATTAATTATTGATTGACTGATTTATGATTTAACTAACTAACTAACTAACTAACTAACCAGCTAACTAACTGTTACATAACCAGTAATTATTGAATATGGGTATTTTTTTGTTTGTCGTTAATAGAAGACTGACTGCTAGTGTTCATATCAACCTACTAGTTCTTGATGTGTCGAACTAAGTAATGATTAGCAAGTTTTGAATTATAGCTGAAGTCATTTCATGAGAAAAACTATGTTGAAAATTTAATTTCAATCAGTTAGATTGTGATTTCAGTTAGTTTTATAAATTCACAATTATATAAATTAACCTTCTATTAGCAAGGGTTATTTTATACTGGTTTTCAGGAGAATCAGCGAGACTGACTGTTCACGTGTTAATATTTCAACGTGAATAGTTCGACTCAGTCGCGTGGTGCAACCACTACACAGGTACCTGACACCCTGTTGGACCATTCACACAATTTATGTACACCAGTATATATATAAAGTGATTATTTCCGATCCATGATCGCGTCGTCAATCGATATGCATGAACAGACATGAATAGGACATTTCGACCCATCCCACTCACGTGACTGTCAAACTCATTATTATTGGCAATGGTGATATACCATATAGCACCCTAATGTCAGACGCCCTCGGGAATGTTGCAAAACAACCACCATCATTATCAATGAAATCGGTCACCCTGCAAAACCAATTTTTTATATGGACTGTTAGCAATACTTGCCAAAACCATCCACAGTGTTCATCACAACGAAGCTCTGGTCTCATAGGAAACCTTCATGTCTATAAATAGCAGTATATCATATGGTATACACATAGTATGTCATAGGATAGCAAGAGATGCAGCCGAGCTTGATGCAAATAGGCCTATGTACTCTTATATTACCTACTGTTTCATGTCAGATAATAATGAGCAACCAAAATTTTCATTTCTCGACCGTATGAGATTTGAGTTTAGGGTAGTATCTCTCTCTGGGATTTCAGTCACTATGAATGATTAATTTGATTAGCATTTAAGTATAAACAAATATCAGAATTATGTGTTACTTATAACCAATGTGATACAAGTTTTCATGTCATTTCGAATACAAACAGGTGTCAATCAGTCAATCATGTATTGAATGAACTGTGATCGAATAGTTATTACTTACTTACTTACTTACTCCTGTTACCCCCAATGGAGCATAGACCGCCCACCAGTTTTCTCCAACCGAATCTGTCCTAGGCTTCCCTCTCCAGTTCTGTCCAATCCTGAAAGGCCTGGAACCTATTGGTGAGGTCTATCTTGAATTCGTTGAGTTTTACGTTATCCCGAAGAAAGGCCGTATTAAACTTGTGTGATGTTGTCTGACCCGTTGTCCAGTGCTTCTTTAGTTTGAGTTTCATTTTGGCGATCAGCAAATGGTGATCTGAGGCTATATCAGCTCCTCTCTTGGTTCTCACATCCTCCATAGTCCTTCTGAACGTTTAGTTGATACAGATATGGTCAACTTGGTTTTGAGTAGTGTGGTCCGGTGAAATCCATGTGGCTTTGTGAATGCGTTTGTGCAGGAATATTGTTCCACCGATGACCAGTTTGTTGAAGGCACATAGGTTTGCGAATCGCTCACCGTTTTCGTTCCTTTCTCCCAGTCCATGTCGTCCCATGATGTCTTCATATCCAGTGTTGTCCATTCCAACCTTGGCATTCAGGTCTCCCATAAGAATCGTCAAATCCTTTGGTGAACATTTCTCGACGATTGACTGCAGCCTTTCGTAGAATTGATCTTTGTCGTCGTCATTGTAGTCATTGGTAGGTGCATAACATTGGATGACGTTCATTGTAATGTCCTCTTTCTTTGTTTTGAAGGATGACTTAATGATCCTTGGTCCATGAGATTTCTATCTTATGAGTGCCTTTTTTGCTTGTTTAGACAGCATCAGTGCAACTCCTTGTGTATGTGAAGCGTTTTCCTCTTCATGACCAGAGTATAACAGCAGTTCCCCTGAAGCTAGTCTCAGTTGTCCTACTTGTGTCCAGTGTGTTTCACTGATGCCGAGCAGCTCGAGGTTGTACCTTTCCATTTCTGCCGCAACTTGAAATAGTCTTCCAGTCTCCCACAATGTACGAACGTTCCATGTACCTAAAAAAATGGTTGCTCTGGTTATCAGAAGAGGCATCGGCCCCGTGACTTCCAAGGGAACTCGGCTTTCATCACGCGACGTCATAATTCTTCCTCCAACTCCCAGGGCAGAGTTAAAATGGTTTGAATTATTTTTTCTGGTTAGCGTTTTTTTGACAAGTTAGATTTCGACGGATTGGGGTCGCCGACCACATGTCCAACCCTCCTCCTTTATCCGGGCTTGGGACCGGCAGTAGCCCCGAAGGATCTACTGGCGGAGTTGATCGATTAGTTATTAGCTAAATTTAATACATCTAGCCAATATCAAATGTGTACAATATCTTATCATATTCATTTCCCTACAATTCCATTTTTCGGATTTCGCACTGTCTCTTTTATAGATACATAATTTTTTGGAATTGTGTAGATCTGGTTTATACACTGAGATTGTAAATCAGGAGTCGTGGATATACACTAACTGCTGATGAGTCCCATCATATCGGAACGAAACGTTCTACCAGAGCTTATGTGGATTTCTAGCGGTGATCAAACAAGGATCAGATTCTTTTAATTTATGCCAATAGTAAAAAAATAGTTCTCCATTGTTTGTCCAATGTACACTAAGCCAGAATATTTTCATATCATCTTAGATCCCTGTTAGTCAAACAGTGGATAAGTCTTTATTAGTTAATTTTTACACTGAAAATTAAATGACTTAACTTAAAACCGAACATTCATAGAATTGAACGTGACCAGTGAAGTTCAACCTGTTCGGGTGTAGGCAGTGTCTACCGAAGACTGTGTATGAGGTTGCGCAACTCCGTGAATTTGATCAAGTTAGACATTATCACCGTTAGATACCGGCTCAGTGGTCTAACGGTTAGGGCGTTCGCGCACAATACCGAAGGTCCTGGGTTCAAATCCTGCGGGGTGCAGGAGTCGTGGATGCGCACTGCTGAGGAGTACCGTACTAGGACGAGACGGCCGTCCAGTGCTTCCAGGTTTCTAATGGTGGTCTAACATTGATCGGTTCATGGTTTCAAAAAACGTGTAACTTAACAGTCTTCACAACCCCTGTCATTGAATTAATCGTTAAAAAGTCATTTTCACTATTGAACATTATTCATTTACTTGTATATTAAAAGATAAAATTATTTTAATTATTGAAATGTTGAATAGTTTTTGTAATATTTATTTATACAGAATATACATTTGATAATTTGGTACCATCCACACAATATACCTACCAATTAAAAGTGATTTCACCATTTGGTAATTATTTAAGACATTATATTTCAATTACTACAACAACAACTACTACTACTTTACCATTACGTAAGTATGATGAAATTATTTTTTCATTCAGAATTATGAAGATTGCTGTTTTTTACACATATGTGTTAGGATAATCATCCAATAATCCTAAGACAATTATTGGTCAATTCCTATTGGTCAACTTTATGCTCGGCCTAGATACCAACGTCACGTAATCCAATGTTGTTTCTCATTGGTTGTCCTGACTATCAACGTCACTTCAAATGTTACTTCCTATTGGTCGTCTTTACTGTCAATATCACAGACTTCGATGCTGTTTCCTTCTCGACCTAAATGTATAAATACGCATTATCTGTAACGTTTTATTACCAGGACCCGGTCGCGGTCGCGGATCCCCAGTCCGGGATACTGATTCTCTTCTGAACTCGGACCTCGTACTTTCTGAATGCTTTTAGAATACAGGTTCTACTTCATATCAAGTCTTGTCTTCTTTTACTCAATATGGGGGTTGGGATAATCGGATTAAAGTGGCATGTCGTGTTGCCGGATCTTCAATCCTTGCTTTCGTTTTCAGACTAGGTAAACTCGTAATAGTTCAAGCATATCAAGTTGACGTGTTTACGTGCAGGCGTAACAATTCATCAACCAGTCATTTTTTTGACCATCATTAGAAACCTGAAAGCACTTGATGGCCGTTTCATCCGGGTATGAGACTCATCAGCGGTGAGAGGTGACAAACGATAGAAAGAGGATTTGGGTGTGTAGATAAGAGAGTTTTTAGGAGGTGTAAAAAGGATTCGATTCTGACCGATGTGGTCTCGTGTGCATTTGCACATATGAGGGCGGATGTCACTTGCTGGCTGCTCACATCGTGGAGCGGCTCTGGTCGACATAATAGGCGACTGCCTCCTCGAGTTATGCTTTGCGATGTAGTAATAGGTTGAGGGTCCCGACCGAAGCTGCTACCTTGACGTGGTGGTCGGGCTTGACTATCGTGATGACCCAACCGAGCTATACTGGCTGGAACATATGTTCCTCAAGGTTCTACCATGCCAGACAGGTCGATTGGAGAACGATGAGACTAAAAGCAGCTAGCCAAGGTCTGAGGGCGAAGTCGTACTGCTGACTGCAGAGGGGTGTGACAACAGTAAGGTGTTTCCCTCGGACAACCAGCATCTGCAGCGATGCTGCCTTCTCACAAGGAATGAAGGGTTAGAAAAGGTCGGCCCTAAAAATGTCACACCTCCCCTACCTCACGGATTTCCGTCTCCTTGGGTAAGAGTGCCCACTAAGGGCCTTTAAGAACGGAGCTAATCCTCTAAATACCTTTCATAAAAAGGCCGTGCGTGACCGGCCTCAAGCAGTTGTCCCTTGGGCTCTGCGGTCACGCACCAACACTAATCTATCTTCCTTTTCAGGTCCCTCAAGAAACAACCTTCCACGGTGTGGGCAGCCGGGAAGTGACAACCGCCCTCATACCCGTAACAGCACGCGAGACCAAATTGGTCAAAATCAAATCCTTCCTACACCCCCTAGTACCTCTCTTATCTCCACAACTAACTCTTCTCACATTCATTTATTACAGTGCACAGCTACTGCAAACGATGGGAGTTTGCGAAACGTCGTTCCTGGTCTCCTTAAACCCCGTTCCAAACTACATGTTGGAGCATTCAATGTACGGAAATTGTGTCAAATAGGGCAACAGGCATCATTAGCTAGGACTTTAGAATCTCGTGCCATCGATGTATGCTGCGTCTCGGAAACGCGCATACAGGATCCGAGTAGCATCACTCATTTGACCTCACCATGTCAAGATAAAGAAGCAGCTCGATTTACCCTTCGTGTATCCGGTAGCCCTGATGCTGCTTCTAGGGGCCTCGCCGGTGTAGGTATTGCATTGAGTCGTAGGGCAGAACAATCTCTCCTTGACTGGATCCCTGTAGATAGTCGCTTGTGCGCCGTCCGACTCAACGGGACAGTAAGGACTCGGAAAGATAGGGACACTCGCCGTTGCCTCTTCGTTATATCAGCCTACGCCCCCACTGACTGCAGCCCAGATGATGTAAAAGATGAGTTTTACAGAAAGCTTTCGGACCTCCTCCAAAAAGTTAAGCGCTCTGATATAGTTATAATGGCTGGTGACTTCAATGCACAAGTAGGTAGACTGAGTGAAAATGAAAGACACCTAGGTGGATGTTACGGTCTCGCGGCTCAAAGAACAGACAATGGCGACCGTCTGTTGCAACTGTGCTCAGATAACCAACTATTTCTAGCAAACACTAATTTTAAGCATAAGGAAAAACACCTTTTGACCTGGCGACCCCCGAAGTCGTCTCAACGTTGGACACAACTAGATCATATCGCCATCAGCCACCGATGGAGGGGTTCGATAGAGGACTGTCGCTCGTTCTGGGGCACATGTTTAGATTCAGATCATGCCCTAGTGCGAGCACGTATTTGTTTGAGGCTTGCTGGACGTAGGAAAGACACCGTAAGGAAGCCTCTTAGGGCTTCACTTGATGATAATCAAGCTAAGAAAATATTTCAGGAGGAACTAGAAAAACAGTTAGGCGGCCATGCAAGTGATTCCCATCCTGAAGCAGGTTGGAATCATATCAAGAAGGCTGTGGAAACAGCAATGGTATCTGCTAGCAAGGTAAACCACAAGGCTAGGATGAAGCCGTGGATTTCAGTAGCATCCACCGATCTGATGGATGCCCGAAAACTCATCCCACCTGGCAATGAACATGATGAAGAACGAAGTCAACTTAGGTGCAGACTTATAAAAAGCCTACGTAACGACCGTGAACAGTGGTGGGTGGCGAAAGCAAAAGCGATGAAAAAGGCAGCGGCGACAGGCAACACTAGACATCTTTTCCGCCTTATTAAAGAAACCGGTATTAGGAACCCGAATGTGAGTGAGACTATCTCGGAAAAGGATGGTCTTATTATCCATTCTCAATCTAGGAGGCTGGACCAATGGGCAGAACACTTTAGGGATCAGTTCAACTGGCCTTCAGCCACTCTTCGGTTGCCCACAATCTCCAGTCATCCTGAATGGCAAATCGATTTAAGTCCTCCCAGTTTACATGAAGTTGAGAAAGCTATAGGAAATCTAAGGGGAGTCAGAGCGGCAGGTCCCGATAGGCTTACCCCTGAGATGTTTAAGGATGGTAGTCCAGTTTTAACGGTTAAACTGACCGAGATCCTAGGTAGAATCTGGGAAATGGACGTAATCCCATCTGACTGGTCTCAGTCGCTAATTGTCCCAATCTACAAGAAAGGACAGACGTCCTCTTGTGACAATCACAGGGGAATAAGTTTAACTAATATAGTTTCTAAATTGTTAGCCTCGATTATACTTAGACGTCTAACTAGAGCTCGTGAAGAGCAGAATCGAGAAAACCAGGCTGGTTTTCGATCTGGACGTGGTTGTATAGACCACATCTTCACACTACGACAGGTCCTGGAACACAGACACACATTTAGACGTCCTACAATAGTCGTGTTCCTGGACCTTAAGGCGGCATTCGACTCAGTGGATCGTGAGGTTCTGTGGCAGTGTCTGTCATTGAAAGTTGTACCAAAGAAGTACATTAACCTTATACAAGCACTCTACTCGAACACCACTGGTCGGGTGAGAGCATATGGCGAACTGTCATCTGAATTCTCTACATCAAGCGGTGTCCGTCAGGGCTGTCCACTCTCTCCATTCTTGTTCAACTTTGTCGTAGACATCCTCTTAGAGTTAACATTAAGCTCGTCAGATTTTTCAGGGGTTGACCTTCTACCAGGAAAGTCGCTTACTGATCTAGAATATGCCGATGACATAGTTCTATTCGGTGAAGACGCTGACAAAATGCAGAGTCTTCTGACTACCATAAGCAACAATGCGAGCATGTTCGGGATGCGGTTTTCCCCCTCGAAATGCAAAATGTTGCTTCAAGACTGGGTTGCTTCGGCACCTGAACTAGTGATAGGGAGTGAAGTAGTCGAGCGTGTAGATCACTTCACTTATCTGGGGAGTCTCATCAGTGCTGACGGTCTGGTGACTGACGAAATCTCAGCTCGGATACAGAAAGCTCGATTGGCTTTTGCCAACCTGCGTCACTTATGGCGTAGACGTGATATCCGTTCGCTAACCAAAGGGCGGGTGTACTGCGCAGCAGTTCGTTCCGTTCTCTTATATGGCTGTGAAACATGGCCGTTAAGAGTAGAAGATGTTCGTAGGTGACTAGTATTCGATCATAGATGTTTAAGAAGCATTGCTCGTATATCGTGGGACAGCCGAGTAAGCAATGCTGTCGTTAGGAAACGAGTACTAGGTAAGGATGGCAGATCAATCGATGAAGTGGTGAAACTTCATCAGTTGAGGTGGTTGGGACATGTGTTACGTATGCCTAACCACCGAGTGCCTCGACGAGCTATGTTTTGTGGTGTAGGAGTAGGTTGGAAGAAAACTAGGGGCGGCCAGACCAAAACATGACAGAAATCCATGAAGTCACTGACAAGTGGACTGAGTCATGTTGGTAGATGTAGACTACCTGGTTGGGGTCCGCGAGACGAAAGTCACCAATGGTTAGAGACCTTGAATGACATGGCTCAAAATCGTTTGCAATGGCGCAGGTGCATCCACTCTTTGAGCTCTCTCAAATCCTAATATTCTGGATTCGTCAGTACGTCTACCTTTGTCTTTCTAACCTAATCTCACTGAATTATATTTTTTTGAATAATATCTTAAACCCTAGTCTTCTTTATTATAACATTAATACCTCTACCATCTTTATCACTATGGGATTTGATTTGACATTTGCGTCTCTGTGCTAATAATGTGGTATGGCAACATGAACTTATGTACATACGTACGAAGTTCTACGTTGCAACTGACTGAATAGGTTGGGGGGAATCTAGGGGTTGTCAAACCAAAAAACATGGCACAAATCCATGAAATCACTGACAAGTGGACTGAGTCATGTTGGTAAATGTAGACTGCATGGTTGGGGCCCGCGAGATGATGGTAATCGATGGTTAGAGACCCTGAATGACATGGCTGAAAAAAGTTCGCAATGGTGGATTCATTCTTCGTGTTCTCGCAAATCCTAACCTTCAGAGTTCCTCATCACCTTTATCTTCTTCTTCTAAATTTACTTCACTAGATCTTTTTCTTTAATCATATCGTCGAATCATAAAATTTTCGATTACTGCTAATACTTCTACTACCTCTACTACTATCGGATTTCAATTGACAATTGCATCTCTGTGCTAATGTAGTATGGAAATTCGAACCGATATACTTATGTACGAAGTTACACGCTGTAACTGTTTTTCAATTAGAGTTATGGCGATTATTATTCTTGCACATTTGAAATCATCAATCAATAATTGTTAGATTACCAGTAGAAACCTGTGGAAGCCCTTGATGGCTGTTTCTTCCGAATGATATGAGATTCATGGGCATTGCGCAACCATGACTCCTGCTACTCAAAGGATTCGAACCCCGGGACCTTCAGTCTTGCGCGCGAACGCCTAACCTCTGATAGTTATGAACATAGAGGAGAGAAGAAATTTTCCATAATATGCGGGAAAGAATAAAAAATCGTCACATTATACTAGGCCACTGAATTGACTTGAAGACTACCAGAGTAAATTTACTATAACCTTGAATTTACCTTGATAATATTTGCTTTTTCTTTTAGCTCACCTATTCAATACAAGTATCAAACCACCAAAACATATACAAATCTTCAATATCACATCCAATTCATTTATGATTAATTGGTCAACAGTAAAAACTACTGCTAATAATAATAATAGTGAACTTGAAAATTCTACTTATGCTGAAATTTTGATTAACACTCAAAACCAATCATCATCCACATTATTATCATCATTGTTTATAAAAAATATTTCAAATGAATTAGTTCAAACAAAAATTGACAATTTAACAGCTTGTTCAATGTATACAATACAAATGAGATTAGTAGTGAAATTTGGTGATACAATATATAGTGATTGGTCTAAACCAATCACTGTATTTACTTCAATTCCAAGTAAGTTTAAAATGTTAAAATCCTGTTAAGAATATTTGAAATCATCAATCAATCATTGTTAGACCACCATTAGAAGAAACCTGGAAGCACTGGACGGTGAGGTCGCGCAAAATCCGTAGATCAATCAGAGTTAGACATTAACATAGTTGAATGACGGCCCACTGGTCAAGAGGTTAGACGTTCGCGCACAATAGCGAAGGTCCTGGGTTTGAATCCTGCGAAGTGCAGGAGTCGTGGATGTTCACCGCTGATGAGTAGTCCCATACCAGGACGAAATAGCCTTCTAGTGCTTCCAGGTTTCTAATAATGGTAGTCTAAAAATGATTGATTGATGATTTCAAATGTGCAAAAACACAAATCTCCAAAACTGTGCCCCAAAATAAAGACTATTTATCAAATATTGACTGATGCGTCTCATATTAAGACGAAACAGTCATCCAATGTGTTTCCAAATTGATCGTTTCATTAATAATTACAAAATAATTCAACAACCTTTCGCAAACCTTATCACGCTTGTTGTCGTCAACTTTTAATTCAATAAAAAAATGAGCGTACAATTCGAATTTGTCTATGTTAGGATATTCATCCGATATTCTAAGAGAATTATTGGTCTATTCCTATTGATTAATTCCTATTGGTCAATTTTATGGTCGTCCTAGATATCAGTGTCACGTACTCCAGTGTTGTTTCTTATTGGTTGTCCTGACTATCAATGTCACTTCAAATGTTACTTCCTATTGGTCTTCTTAACTGTCTATGTCATAGATTTCGATGCTGTTTCCTATTCGACCAAAATGTATAAATACGACCCGGTCCCGGATCCGTATTACGGGATCCTGATACTCTTCTGGATTCAGACCTCGTACTTTCTGGATGTTTGTATAATACAGGTTCTACTTTATTATGAAGTCTTCTTATTTCTTCTTATGTCGTGTCACCGGATCCTCGATCCTCGCTCTCGTATTCCGACTGCGTTATACTTCAAGCATATCAAGTTGACGTGTTTACGTGCAGGCGTAACACAATTCGAACTTTAAAATTAGTTTTAATCAATTTCAATTATTTTTTAACCTTTATTATATTTCTTGGTAAAAATTACTAGTAATATTGTCATCATTAAAGATTACAATGAATGACAGACAGATACAACGCAGAACTTTGTACATAAGTACATCAGCTCAGGTTGCTATGGCCCATCAGCAAAGTCTATATTTGCTGATGATCAAGGATTTCGTTTAGTCAATATTTGCACACTTATAAACACTGATAAAAATATCGTTTAACTATTGTTCTGAAAAACTATAGCCTTAAATCTAAGCTTCAGTTATTCTTCATTTAGTATTATTAGTGAATTGCAATTCTGTTTACTGAGATTTGTATAAGAATTTCGGGAAAACCTCTTGTAAATGTAAACACTAACATGAGCATACATTTTCAATATTGACAAAAAGTAGGATCCAAAATGAGGTTCGAACTGAGGAATAACTGTCTAGGGTAGTTTAGATACGTACCTTGCCCAGTTGAAAAAATCAAAACAAGGTGATTTGGGTAAATGACGTTTCTAATATTCATCATAAATATCAATATACATCATTACCTAAACAAATAGTACCACTCAGTTATTCCACCAACCATTGTTCAATTATTCAACTCAACAGCAATAAATAAATGTTATTCTATCCTTTCTGGATAGATCAGATTCGTTTGACAGATAATATTTGGTTGCTTTATAACACAGAGTGTTTTCTATTCTGGAAGAGTGCTTTAATTTGCAATCGTAATGCACACTTCCAGTCCAATCAGACAACACAATCAAAAGAGGAACAAATCAATATGGCTGTCGCCATGACTAAGTATCAGCTTAAACTACATAAATGCAGTTCTGAACGAAACATGGAAACTCAATGAAGGCAAAAGAAATAGAAACTAGTAAAATACAAATATTATCATCCTAAGATTGAATCGAACAGACTCATAAGAACAAATTACAAATATATACATGGAGGGATTTTCACAAATGAGGCCTTCAAAAATGGATCTTACAAAAAGTAAATCAACTCTGCTGATGAGTCCCATACCAGGATGAAACGGTCATCTTTCAGTGGCTTCCAGGTTTCTAATGGTGGTGGTCTAACAATGACTGATTGATGATTTCAGTATGCGACAAACACTAATCTCTATAACTCTAACTGAAAAAAATAATAGATGTATGCTTGATGAAAACAAATTCATCAATCTTCTCAAGATTGTTGGGGACGTTAGATCCCCAGACCTCACTGAAGGAAGGTCCTAATGTCGGATTTCCTGTGTTTTCGAGCATGGGCTGATCAGCTGTCCTTGAGATTACATTTCTGTTACGCCTGCAAGTAAGCACGTCAACTTGATATACTTGAACTATTACGAGTTTATCTAGTCGGAAAACGAGAGCGAGGATCGTGGATCCGGTGACACGACGTGCTACTCAAATCCGATTATCTCAACCCACATATTGAGTAAAAATAAGAAGACTTGATATGAAGTAGAACCTGTATTCTATAAGCATTCAGAAAGTACGAGGTCCGAATCCAGAAGAGAATCAGGATCCCGGACTAGGGATCCGGCATAGGGTCCTGGTGCTGGTCATAAAACGTTACAGATAATGCGTATTTATAGATTTTGGTCGAATGCGAAGCAGCATCGAATTCTGTGACATTGACAGTGAAGACGACCAATAAGGAACAACATTGGAGCAGGTGACATTGATATCTAGGACGACCATAAAATTGACCAATAGGAATCAACTAATAGGAATTGACCAATAATTCTCTTAGGATATTGAATGAATATCCGAACACCTCCTTCTGAAGAAATTGAAGCGACACACGACGGTTCATTTTGATCTGGACTGATGTTTGCTGCTGTTTTTGAGGATATTTCTGGAACGGAGATGAGGACCAGACTTGGGTACTTCTGAGCGGGTTTTCTTCTTCTTATATGCTTAATGGGACTTCTGCTTATGTTAGCTGTTTGAACCAAACTAACACATTGATTTTAGATCGGCTATCGGATTGAGCTGAAGTGAGGTGGAATGGATGTAGCAGGGGGCACAGCTACTCTGGTTAGTTGACAGATATAATACACACAGTCAGATTGACTTGATCCATAATAGTCGTGTCACGATGCAGCTTGGTATCCATCAACATCTTCATTACTTCAGCTGCTGCTCGGGTAATTATTCAAGTCTCGAAGGATCAATGTGATCCCATCTCCGTCGCCAAAATTGTTACGCCTGCACGTAAACATGTCAACTAGATATACTTGAACTTTTACGAGTTTACCTAGTCGGAAAAATTTTCCAACAGGAAAATCCTTGACTGTTATTGGTTGGTGGATTATTTTAGTACACTATTTCTGTGGTTCTCCCAAGGACGTTTCTATCATATATAAATAAATTCAATTCGTGTGTTTGTAAACCTCATATTTTCTGAGTGCTTGTAGAATACACTTTCAACGCCTTATCAAAACTTTTCATATCGTTAGTAGGGCCGGGGACAATTGAATCAAAATAGCCTATCAAATCACTGGATCATTTGTCTTCGTTCTGGTTTACCGACTAAGATGAACTCGTAATAGCAGTCAAGCTTTTCAATTCTCTAAATGTATCTATAAAAAAGGCACAAATTGTGACTGTAATCAATATAGATTTATTTTAGTTAGATCACTAATGAATTTTTTCAAAACCTTTTTGTACTTCTGTTAGAAAAAAATTTATTATTTGTTTACAGATGGCATCCATCATAAGATGACCTTAGTTGATGTATTTAAACTGCTAAACATTATCACTCGGTTGTTGATAAAATAGTTCATTTAAAAAAAATTTAAATGTCAGCTTAGAAATGTCGATACAACAATCTCTTCCGAATTATCCTAATTATTCAGAAATGTCTTGAGGCGAGGTTGATATGTCAATTTAGAAATTCGCTTATACCTATTCATCATTACATTCTGGATAACGAGAGTGAAAGAGGAGTACTATTGAATAATATGTACATTTGTAAAAAGTCAAAACAAGTTTGATTACTTCAACTGATTTTACCTGAGAGGTAAAATCATGACATAGTTTTCATCATTGTTAAGCTGTTACGCCTGCACGTAAACACGTCAACTTGATATACTTGAACTATTACGAGTTTACCTAGTCGGAAAACGAGACAGCGAGGATCGAGGATCCAGTGACACGACATACTACTCAAATCCCATTATCCCAACCCCCATATTTAGTTAAAAATAAGATGTGATATGAAGTAGAACATGTATTCTACAAGCATCCAGAAAGTACGAGGCCCGAATCCAGAAGAGAATTAGGATCCCGGACTAGGTATCCGGGACCGAGCCCTGGTCCTGGTCGTGGTCAATAAACGTTACACATAATGTGTATTTATACATTTTGGTCGAATAGGAAACAGCATCGAATTCTGTGACATTGACAGTTAAGACGACCAATAGGAAGTAACATTTGAAGTGACATTGATAGTCAGGACAACCAATAAGAAACAACATTGAAGTACCTGACTTTGACGCTGATAAAGACCATAATTTTGACCAATAGAAATCGACTAATAGGAATTGACCAATAATCCTTTTAGGATATTGGATGAATATCCTAACATAAGCATAACAACAGTTGTGACCAGTGAAGTTCAATCTGTTCGAATGTAGTAGACAGTAACTACTACCGAAGACTGTGTATGATGTTGCGCATGACCTTGACTTGATCGAAGTTAGACATTAACACAGTTAATAGTCCAGAGGTTAGGCGTTCGCACTCACAACCGAAGGTCCCGGGTTCGAATCCAGCGAAGAGCAGCAGGAGTTGTGGATGCGCACTACCACTGCCGATGAGTTTCATACTAGAACGAAATAGCCTTCTAGTGCTTCCAGCTTTCTAATGTTGTTAGTCTAAAATTGATCAACTCATGGTTTTTAAAAAATGTATAACACTATTCTCAATGATTTGAATATTTTAGATATTACAAAGAATATTTCATTAGAAATTAGAAACTCTGGTAGAAATCTACAACAATTACAATGGATTCAATTGAATGATAGTGATTTTTTAGAAAATCAATGTAAATCCTACTTAGAAGTGATTCGATGCGCGCATCATGTATCATATCATTGTGTGAAAGTAAATTTATTTGTTAATGAAACCAGTAAGTGTTACATTTTACAAAGAATCTATATCAGTTTGTTTTGGTTTGTTTTTTCCCACACTCATATATTAAAATAAGAGAAGATAGTCATTATTTTTATGTTTTCTACTTGATGTAACACCAAACCACTGTACAAATTACAACACCGAACGTTAGACCCCTCCGTTCAAAAATAAGAAGACGGAAGACATTGGAGAACGCTTATTGTCAGAATCCAAAAATATACAATCAAACATGCGTATTTATACAATTATATAAATGTCGTTAAATATTTTGAACATGAATCAAATAGTTTATCATGAACATTAATCAAATAGTTCATCATGAACATTGGTCAAATAGTTCATGATGAACATTAATCAAACAGTTCATCAATCCACAATGTGCGTGGCTTTCTTCTCGATTGGCTATCCCAACAAGTACAAATGCACAAAATATGCATTACTAATTTTTTAATTGTTAAAGAAATAGATAATTTTGAATAGAAGTCGATCAATCAGTCAGTCATTGTTAGACCACCATTAGAAACCTGGAAGTAATGGACTGCCGTTTCGTCCTCGTACCGGACTCATTAGTAGTGAACATCTAGGACCGTCGGTCTTGCGTGTGAACGCCTAACCTTTGGACCACTGAGTTGGCCTTCACTCGACGGTGTTAATGTTTAACTCTAATCAATCTAGGGATCTTGCACGACCTCAGCTGTTTGTCTTCGGTAGTTACGGCCGACAGGGCTGGTCAAATATTCTCACTAGAATTCCGAGAATTTCCTCATTAAGCTAGTCACTAGTGAGGACATTTTACGACTTTTTTTTCAGTTAGAGTTATGGAGATGAGTGTTTCTACACATTGATATCATCATTCGATCGATCAGTGCTTCCAGGTTTCTAATGGTGGTCTAACAGTCATTGATTGATTGATGATTTCAGTGTTTTAAAAACACTAATCTCCATAACTCCAATTGACATAGTTATGCGATTGTTTGTTTTAATTTTATTTACTGTCATTAAATATACTCATTGTACATTGATTACTTTTTTCTTAAACATGTATAAAAATTAGACTACCCTTAGAGACCTCCAAACAATTGAAGGCTGTTTAGTTCTAGTATCGGACTCATCAGCACTGAGCATCCAAGACGCCGGCTCGCTAGAATCGAACCCAGGACCTTCGGTCTCGATCATCCTCTATACCACCGAGCCAGCACCTAACGGTTTTGATTTCTACCTTCGATCAATCTTATAGTCTTCGGTCTTCTGTAAGTGCTAATGAGAAGTTGCGACCAATGGAGTTAAAATCTTATGGGTGTATGCAGTTACCCACTGAAGAGACAATGGATGAGGTCTCACAACAGCGTTGATTTGTTGAATTAAGACATTAATAATTTTGGTTGCGCACTCATTGGTCTAGAGGATAAGCTTTCACGGGCGAAACGGAAGGTACTAGGCTCAATGCCCTGTGGTAGGGGTTGTGGATGTACAATGCCGATAAGCCTCATACTAAATAGAAACGGCCGTCTAGTGCTTCCAGGTTTCTTATCGCGGTCTAATACTGATCAGTTCATGATTTCATTGAAACTCAGTAATCTTCATAACCCCATAATGAAAATGTGCATATATAACTACTGAGAATAACGGTTTGCCATAGCATTGCTCTTTCACAAAAGGCAACATACCAACTTCGTTTCTGAAACAAATATTGAAACAGTTGTAACCATTGGTTAAAAGATTTTTTAAATAAGTTTCGTTTCTGTTACCCCCGGAATGGAGCATTGGCCACCGATAAACATTCTCCAACCTACTCTGTACTGAGCCTTGTTTTTCAATTCAGTCAGTCAGTTACAACATAGAAATTCATACGTACGTACATAAATTCAGGTGAACGAGACAATTACCAGCGTCCAAATAGGCTACCTTGAATCCCAAGCTGCAAAACAGAAGTCTTGGTAAGCGTAGAAAGTATATTCTATAAACACCCAGCAATCACAGTACCATCAAGCACACAACTCTCGTTTATTTATACATCATAGAAACGTCCTTGGGACAGTTACGAAAATAGTACACTACAATACACAGCAGCCAATCACAGCCATGGATTTTCGTGGTGGGAAATGAAATCTCAAAGTCAACTGATCAACCGATGCTGACAAACGTGAAATCCAAAATAAGGCATTTATCAAGCGAGTTCCGGGGATCTAACATCTCCATCCTCAAGAAAAACTATACACTTTCCATGTATTTCACTTATTCTTAGTTAAAATGAAAAGATAACCACTACTATACAATTTTAGAAACTTCATACTCTCATTAAATTTTTGAATTATTGATATATTTTGTTATATGTACACTTCCTATTCCATTGTTTTAGCTTACCTGTTTGATAATTTAAAACCGTTAACCATGTATACATATAGTATGAATTTAATTTCACCATTTGGTAATATCAGTAATATTTACATGAGGTCTACAACTGAAACATTACCTAATGGTAAGTAATGGTTTATTATTGAGTGTTAGTTACCCTTTTTTTCGCAAAACTATTTCCAATGAAAGAACCATGAATTAATCAATGTTAGACTACTATTTCAAGCTCGTAGAAGGTCCACTTCATCTTAATATGAAAGCTTTTTAACATTGAATCTTGTGCGCAAACGACGTTTCATCTTCAGTGACCGAAAGCCCCTGGTTCGATTCTCGCATGCAGGCAGTCAGTCAGTAAGTTGCAACGTAGAACTTCGTTTGTATGTATATCAGTTCAGGTTGCCATACCACGTTGGCACAGAGAAGCAACTGTCAATTACAATAGAGATAGTAGAGGTATTAATGGTACTGAAGAAATATAATTCAGTGAGATAAGGTTAGAAAGACAAAGGTAGAGGTGCTGATGAATCCAGAAGATTAGGATTTGAGAGAACAAAAGCAGTGGATGCACCAGAGCCATTGCAAAAGATTTTGAGCCATCTCGTTCAAGGTCTCTAACCATTGGTGACTTTTGTCTCGCGGACCCTAACCAGGTGGTAGCCTACATCTACTAACATGACACAGTCCACTAGTCAGTGACTTCATGGATTGCTGCCATGTTTTAGTCTGGCATGTAAGCATCATAGATGCTTACTGTTAATGCGCCTCATACTAATACGAAAAAGAAACAACAACTGTTCAATGCCTATAGACAGGCTTCTATTAGTAGTGATCTATACCAATCAATAGTCAACTTAGGATTTTAATTAAACTCAAACAATCTTCACAGATCCTATATAAGTACAACAATATTATGGTTAGTATATGTTTACTATAAGTTAGCTTAGCTTAGAACATTAGTCAATATAAAAATTTTTTTCGCTTATGGGTTCTACCCCTAGAATCGTTCAGTGATATGTAGTATTTCAACTCGTTTTTTAAAATCTTTTTTTTCAAAAAATAAAAAGAATACTATTTTTTAGTTAAAGTATTGTTTAGTGATCGCTTTTATAAACTATTCCGACCTATATGACTCGAATAACCTTGTATAAATCATTTGTGATTAACTGATTTACAGAATTTAATATTTGAAATCATCAATCAATCATTGTTAGACCACCATTAGAAACCTGGAAGCACTGGATGGCCGTTTCGTCCTGGTATGGGACTCGTCAGTGGCAGTGCGCATCCACGACTCCTGCGCCTCACACGATTCGAACTCAGGACCTTCGCTATTGTGCGCGAACGCCTAACCGTCGGACCACTGGGCCGGCATCCAGTGGTGTTAACGTCTAACTCTTATTGATCTAGGGATTTTGCGCGACCTCACTCATTTGTCCTTGGTAGTTAGTTACTGCCTACACCCAACAGGGTTGAACTCCACTGGTCACGTCTTCTCAACTAGAACTCCGAGAATTTCCTCACGAAGCTAATCACTAGTGAGCACTGTTACGATATTTTCGGTTAGAATTTCGGAGGTTTGTATTTTTACACAATTAAAATCATCAATCAATCATTGTTAGACCACCATTAGAAACCTGGAAGCATAAGATTTGTTAAATTATCCATCAAATCCGCGTGCCAGTGTGATTTTCTTATCTAAAATGGATTTAATTTTTGAAAATGCAAATTCAATTGGATTAAGCATATAACTAACTATAAGGAGATAAAAACATAACATTTACTCAATTTTCATTAAAATATTCTTAGTAATATTGAAGTGATGGATCTTTACATTTCTTAAAAAATTGATTTTCGATGGCATTTTTCAATCAACTGATCAAAAAAATAGAGTGGACTTATTGGAGTTCACTGAACCAAAAAAATGTTTGAACAAAAAGAACTTCATTTTCTGTTATTGCCGGCATCAAACTTACATTAGTTCCACGTGTTGACCATGGAACCATGGCACTTACTGGTTTTCCTCTTCTAGATCTTCCGCAAAGTTCTTCTCAAATATATACAAATTAAAGGATGATTTATGAATAAAAACTTTTATAAAGGAATCTTCGATATTCACCAAAATCTTGCGCGTATATATCTGTCGTCTAATTTTAATTGATTCTCAGTTGATATTAATCGATGGATAAGTGTAGTGAACGAGAACACAGGTGGGGCAACCGGATTGTATTTAACGAAAATTACAGAGTTACTCAGTAAAATCGGAAAACCATATTGTAAATCGTTAATTTGCAAACTATCAGTCCATCATATCGAACTGGACTGTTCCTGTTGCAAAACATCATCAATCCATTGTCACTATTCATGCGTTTCATACAAATTCCATTGTGTTCTAACTCTTCCTTTCTTGATCTTCCCTCATCTTCTGCTGCCAGACATTACGTTGACACTCACGTCATATACTACTTATAAGTAGCTCGCACCACATAAGGACATTTTAAAGATTATTAAAAATTTTAAAAAAACGAACTGAAATACTATAATTCGTATTCACAACCAAATTCATAGTGAACACAATATTTTCATCAATCATCATCCTTTAACAACAGGATTTCTGCAAATTATTTAATAAAGAGTTATCAGAAATAATTTTTCCAAAAATTTGATATTAAACTCCCTTATCTGAAATGCTGTTAAATATAAACTGTACTATACAATTCTAGTCATTGAAGTTATAGTCAACCCTTTCAGACAATGATTAATTGGATTCCCAGATTTCACTCAGAAAAAGTCTTACATTTATAACTGATTTCTGAAATTTTGAATTTCTGTGTTTTCGCGCCAAGGACGCTTAGTCGACCTTCAGCTTTCGTTTCTCACTTGGAAAATCCTTGCCTGTCATTGACCGATTGATTATTTCAGTACGTCATTTTGTGGCTCTCACCAAGGGCGTTGCTATCATTGTATAAATAAGCTTGATTTGTGTACTTTTCAGCCTCATGTTTTTCTGGGTGCTTGTAGAATACATCCTCTGTACTCCTTATCAAGACTTCTTGTATTAGTTAGCCGAGGCCTGAGACAGTCAGACTAGAATAGCCTATCATGTGAAGTTGAAGTTAAAGTGAACTCATAAGAGCTGCAAGAATATCAGCATCTAAGGCGAAGCTTTAATTCTTAAAAAAATAATTCATCAAAGAATTAAGTAAGCATCGATTCTTTTATAGACTAGAACTGTACTCTGTTCAATAGTTCTGAGGATTGACTCATGCTCTTTCCATTGTACAAGGAATGCATTAATTTCAAACTACTCATCTGGAATTCAGTAGTTTACATTCCAACCATCTAATGCAATGAATAGATAGAATTATTAATTGTGATACTCTTATATTTTATGTCATTTAGTTTTTCGTTAGGATTTAGCAAATTTATTGAAATTTCTAATCTTAATTAAATTAAATAATGATTAATTGAGAGCTATTAACATCATCATCATCATCATTGTACCTTAGTTAATATTTGTTAACTGATATTTATTACGTTACGGGTTTGTGAAGATTGTTAAGTTACACATTTTTGAAAGCATGAATCGATCAATGTTAGACTACCAACATTAGAAATCTGGAATCACTGGACGGCCGTTCCTTTCTGGTATGGAACTAATCAGTGGCAGTGCGCATCCACGACTCCTGCACCCCGCAGGATTAGAATCCAGGACCTTTGGCATTGTAAGCGAACGCCTAACCATCGGACCACTGAGCCGGTATCTAACGGTGTTAATGTCTAACTTTGATCAATTCAAGATTGTGCGCAACCTCATACACAGTCTTCGGTAGTTACTATCTACACCCGAACAGGTTGAACTTCACTGGTCACGTCTTCCCACTAGAACTAGGAGAAGATTCCTCACGAAGCTAGTCACTAGTGAGCACAGGTAATTTGCATTACGAGGTTGTGAAGATTGTTAAGTTACAAATTTTCGAAACCATACGCACTGCTGAGGAGTCCCATACCAGGAAGAAACAGCCGTCCAGTGCTTCTAGGTTTCTAATGTCTAACGTCTAACGTTGATCGATTCATGGTTACAAAAATGTGATATTTATTACACCATTTGAATTCATGTCTCTGTTATGCTCGTCAACAGTTGATATGCTTGAATGCTATTATGAGTACATCTTAGTCGGTAAACCAGACCGAAGACGATTGATCCAGTAACATGATAGGCTATTCTGATTCAATTGTCCCCGGCCCTATTAACGATATCAAAAAGTCTTGATATGGCGTAGAAAGTGTATTCTACAAGCACACAAATTCAGTTTATTTATACAATGATAGAAACGTTCTTGGGATAGCGTTTCAACATACTACAGCAACCAATGACAGTCAAGGATTTTACCACGTGGGAAATGTAATCTGAAGTACAGCTGATCAGATCATGTTCGAAAACATTACTTACTTACTTACGCCCGTTAACCCCAATGGACCATAGGCCGCCCACCAGCAGCATTCTCCAACCAACTCTGTCCTGGGATTCCCTTTCCAGTTCTGTCCAATGTTTGTTCATTCCTCTCATATCTTTCTCTATTTCAAGGCGTAATGTATTCCTTGGCCTTCCTCTTTGCATTTTGCCTTGAGGGTTCCGTGTGAGGGCTTGTCTCGTCACACAGTTAGGTGCTTCTCGTAGTGTGTGTCCTATCCACTTCTAACGATTCTTCTGATTTCCTCCTCCACTGGAATCTGGTTTGTTTTCTCCCGAAGTACGTGGTTGCTGATGGTGTCTGGCCAACAAATCCGAAGTATTTTGCGTAGAAACTGTTAATAAACACTTGTATCTTCTGGATGATGCCTTTCGTAGTTCTCCAAGTTTCCGCCTTATACAGTAGAATTGTCTTCACATTTGGCGGAGTTGTTCGAAAACATAGAAAATCCGAAATTTGCACCTTTTCCGAGTGAGTTCTGGGGATCTAACATCACCAACAATCTCCTAGAAATTACAACAAATGAGATGATTATTGATTTTCACAATCTTCCTAACCATTGCCTTCTGTTGTTTCACGTTAAATAAAAAATATACCACAATATGCATATATGTATACTTATTTACTCTAGTGTTCAGATAGCGACTCATTATATGTAGGCACTCAAAATGACATAACACATTATCGATTACTAATGAAATTCACTAGATAGTGAGTGAGTGCTTTAAACTGTTCACCATTCATTTTTTTTTCTAATTTGCATAAGAAAAAAAATACTAATTTGTACTTGTTTTAATCTACATAATTTTTTTTCAATGCAAAACACTAATTTATCATGATAATCATATACAAGTTGAAGTATTTGAGAATGTGATCAAAATGTTATTGTCATTCTGTTTGGATTAAAAAATAAATAAAGTCGATTTATTCCGTGAAGAAATGTAAAAACAAACAAACATCATTTACATGCCTGAATTGTAGTTGAATGAATTACGTGGAAAAAGTGTTTTGTAAATCTCATACATATGTTGTATATCAGGACAGTAAGTAAGTAAGTGAGTAAGTAATCGATTGTTAATGAACAGATAGTAGTTTTTGCAGTAGAATAAATAACTCTAGTGAATATTTCACTGATAAATCGTTATATTCGTAAAACTGTGTTACGGAACCAGTAAACATGTCATTTTGATATACTTGAATTATTATTACGAGTTTACCTTAGTCGGAAAACGAGACAGTGAGGATCGAGGATATGGCGACACGGCAGGCTACTCTAATCCGATTGTCCCAACCCTCATTGAGTGAAAGAGAAGACTTGATAAGAAGTAGAACATGTATTCCCCAAGCATCCAAAAAGTACTAGGTCCGAGTTCAGAAGAGAATCAGGATCCTGGACTAAGGATCCGGGACCGGATCCTGGTCCGGGTCATAAAAGGTTACAGATAATGCGTATTTATACATTTTGGTCTAATAGGAAACAGCATCGAAGTATGTGACATTGACAGTTAAGACGACCAATAGGAAGTAAAATTTGAAGTGACATTGATAGCCAGGTCAACCAATAAGAAACAACATTGAAGTATGTGACATTGATATCTAGGATGATCATAAAATTGACCAATAGAAATTAACCAATAGGAATAGACCAATAATTCTCTTATGATATTGGATGAATATCCTAAAAATTTCTATCAACCATAAATATTATTAGATAAAGAAATATTGTATAACATGTTTAATACAGATGAAAAAAGGAGACATGACACTGATGTTACGCTTTCCATTTCTTGTTCTGACAAATTAAAAAAAAATCTAGATTAAATAGAAGGAATCTTATTTACAGTGTTTTATTTTAATTAGTAATAATAATAATAATAATAATAATAATAATAATAATAATATCAATATTTGTTCAATCAGGTAGTTTGTTTTAAAAAATACCAAGTACATCAGTGATTTTCCTGCAATTCTTTACATGTTTTTGATGCAAAATATTGTTAGGAACATTAGATCCCCCAAAACTCACTTGATAAAGGTATGAGTTTTGCATTTCAGGCTTTCAGGTGACCTTGAGATTATATTTCCCACGCGGGATATCCTTGACTCTCATTTCAGTATACTATTTTTGTGGCTCACCCAATGACGTTTCTTTCATTGTATAAATAAACTCGATTTATGTGCTTGTCAACCTCAATATTCTCTGTGCTTGTAGATTACTGTTGTGGATGTTAGATCTCCAGAACTCGCTTGATTATTATCTTTATTTTGGATTTATTTCGTGGACCGATCAGTTGGCTTTGATATCGCATTTCCCAGCAGGAAAATCCTTGGCTGTGATTGGTTACTGTGTCATTTTAGTGTGCTATTTTTGTGATTGTCCCAACGACGTCTCTAAAGAGTGTAAATAAACGCCATTTGGGTGCATGGATTGATTGTGTGCTTGATGGGTGTTTGTAGAATACACTTTCTATGCTATATCAAGACTTCTTGCTGGTACAATATAATCAAGGGATGAAAGTAGCCTACCTGGACTCTGGTTCATTGTTTTGTTCTTGTTATTCAACTAAGGTGAACCCTTAATAGTTTTAAGCATACCTAGAGACGAGTATAACAATAATATTTCCTACTTCTTGTCAATACTACTTCATCTACTTAATGTGAGGCTTTAGGGAGCTCGGACTAAAGTAGCCTATCGTATCACTGGATCATTTGTCTTTGCTCTCGTTCATCAACTAAGATGAACTCGTAATAGATCATCAAGCATATCATCTGTTGGCCAGCATAACAAATACGCAGATCAAATAATAATATTGAGAAGACTGAGGCAAGCGCGGAAGATTGTTTTGTGCAAATTTACACTCTTAGTCAATTAAAAACGAAAACATTACATTGAACACTCTATTTGCACACCATTTTTGAGTCGTGACTTCCAACACTCCATCCTTCTTCCATTCCTGTTGTTTTTTCCTTTCCTTCCTGTTGGTACTCCATTTGTTCTTGCTTTTGCTCCATTTGCTTTCCGTTTTCCTCTTCCGACCGTGGGACTTCTTTCACGTCCCTTCTTATACTACTTATATCGTTCGTATAAGTAGCACACACCACAATATTAGAATATAAACATTTTAAAAAAATTTCCCATGTTTAACTTTTAGTCAAAATTTTTTTTTTCATCGTTTAGGTCCAAATGCTCCAGTCAATTTATCTATCAGTCATATCTCATCGAATAAACTTACTTTACACTGGCAAAATCCACCATCATCACAACATCCCTCTTTTAATGTACAATGTTTTTTTATATACAAACGTGAATCAATTGACTGGTTCGGTGCAGTGGATGAGTACAAAATTTGTAATAATAATGATAATTTGAATCAGTTTAATATAACATCATTAATACCTGGTAGACAATATACATTTTATATGAAATCTCAAGATACTGTCCATGGATTGCATAGTGACATGTCAAATGTTATTAGTGCAACAACTTATCCATCAAGTAGGTTTCTTTTAAAGTGATTTCTTTACTTACTTACTTACTTACTTACCTACTTACTTACTTACTTACTTACTTACTTACTTACTTACTTACTTACTTACTTACTTACTTACTTACTTACTTACTTACTTACTTACTTACTTACTTACTTACTTACTTACTTACTTACTTACTTACTTACTTACTTACTTACTTACTTACTTACTTACTTACTTACTTACTTACTTACTTACTTACTTACTTACTTACTTACTTACTTACTTACTTACTTACTTACTTACTTACTTACTTACTTACTTACTTACTTACTTACTTACTTACTTACTTACTTACTTACTTACTTACTTACTTACTTACTTACTTACTTACTTACTTACTTACTTACTTACTTACTTACTTACTTACTTACTTACTTACTTACTTACTTACTTACTTACTTACTTACTTACTTACTTACTTACTTACTTACTTACTTACTTACTTACTTACTTACTTACTTACTTACTTACTTACTTACTTACTTACTTACTTACTTACTTACTTACTTACTTACTTACTTACTTACTTACTTACTTACTTACTTACTTACTTACTTACTTACTTACTTACTTACTTACTTACTTACTTACTTACTTACTTACTTACTTACTTACTTACTTACTTACTTACTTACTTACTTACTTACTTACTTACTTACTTACTTACTTACTTACTTACTTACTTACTTACTTACTTACTTACTTACTTACTTACTTACTTACTTACTTACTTACTTACTTACTTACTTACTTACTTACTTACTTACTTACTTACTTACTTACTTACTTACTTACTTACTTACTTACTTACTTACTTACTTACTTACTTACTTACTTACTTACTTACTTACTTACTTACTTACTTACTTACTTACTTATTTTTCTCAATTATTACACCTAATTTTTGAAAGGATAATTTTTTTTGGTTTCATCTAGTTGTATAATATTTGTTCATTACTTATTTGAATTCAAGAATCGAACATTAGAAACCACGAATCACTGGACGGCCATTTCATTCTTGTATGGGACTCATTAGCAGTGGCAGTGTGTATCCATGACTCCTGCTGCTCCTCGCAGGATTCAAAATTAGGACCTTTGGTCTTACGAGCGAACGCCTAAGCTCCGGACCACACAAGTCTCCAGAACTCTAACTGAAAATATCAATCAACACCAAAATCAGGATTTTCAATACAAATTTCAAGACAGTTCTACTGTATGGAGCCGAAATTTGGATAACTACGAAGGCTATCATTCAGAAGATACAAGTATTTATGAACAGCTCTCTTCACAAAATACTTCGGATTCGTTGGCCAGACACTATCAGCAACAACTTACTGTTGGAGAGAACGAGCAAGATTCCAGTGGAGGAGGAAATCAGGAAGAAGCGCTGGAAGTGGGTAGGACACACATTGAGGAAAGCACTGAACTGCGTCACTAGACAAGCCCTCACTTGGAACCGTCAAGGTAAAGGGAAAGGAGGACGACCAAGAAACACATTATGCCGAGAAATAGAGAAAGACATGATAATAATGAGCAAAAACTAGAAAGAACTAGAAAGAGAAACCCAGGACAGAATTAGTTGAAGTAAACTGGTCGGTGGCCTATGCTCCATTGGGGATAACAGGCGTAGGTAAGTAAGTAAGTAAGTTTTCCATCGAAACCATGAATCAATCATATGACTATAATGAACATCATACAATATGCTCACTAGTCGCTAGCTTCATGAAGAAATTCTCAGTGTTTCAGTGAGAAACCGTTTTCACTGAAGTTGAACCATGATTGATGAAAGGCAGTTATCCACCGAAGAAAGTGGATTGAGTTGAGCGAAATTCTAAAATCAATCAAACTAAGACATCAACACCATTGTATACCGGCTCAGAGGTCTAGAGGTTAAACATTCATAGTTGTTAGGGATGTTAGATCACCAGAACTCGCTTGAGAAATGCCTTATTATTTGGATTTCACGTTTTTCAGCATGGGTTGCACAGTTGACCTTGAGATTTCATTTCCCACCACGAAAATCCTTGGATGCGGTTGGCTGCTGTGCATTTTAGTGTGCTATTTTTGTGACTGACTGTCCCAAGGACGTTTCTATGATGTATAAATGAACGAGAGTTGTGTGCTTGATTGTATTGTGATTGCTAGGTGTTTGTAGAATATACTTTCTACGCTTACCAAGTCTTCTGTTTTGCAGTTTGGGATTCAAGGTAGCCTATCTGGATGCTGATTACTTGTCTCGTTCACGTTTATCGACTAAGAAGAACTCGTAATAGCTTCAAGCGTACCTAGTGACGAACCCTACAACAGGTGAGACTAAAGGTCTTAGATTCTATTCCCAAAATGGTGGGAAGGTGAATATCCACTGGCAATAATTCCCATACTCGAACAAAACGGCCATCCATTGCCTTCACAGTTTCTAATGCTGGTCAAACAATGATTAATTTATTATATCAATGAAATACTGTTAAGATGAAATTGAACTATTCTCATACACTTTCTGAAATTTATCAATCGATCGATTATCGGTACTTTCTAAATTTTGGTTTGTTTTTTATTTATTTTTCCAAGAACCAAATCCACCAATCAACTTAACCGTCATTCATATTTTATCCAATCAATTAACAATTCAATGGACTGAACCATCAACAATACAAGATTCTTCTGCATTTCAAATTCAACAATATTTCATTTATTATCGGCTTACATTGAATGTGAATGCGCCATTTACAATAGAATCGTCAACTATTTCTTCCAAGAATCATCATTTCAATACGCATCGAATTAGTTCATTGCTACCTGGTAGATATTATACAGTCTTTATGAAATCTTATGATTCTATATATGGTTTATATAGTAATGCGTCCAAATCAATTATAGTTTATACTTATCCAGATAGTAAGTTAATGATGTTATTGTTACGCTTGCATTTGTAAACATGTCAGCTTGATATACTTGAATTGCTATTATTACTAGTGTTTACCACCACTTAGTCGGAAAACAAGACAGTGAGGATCGAGGCACCGGTGACATGACATGCTAATCTAATCCCATTATCCCAGCGCCCCCTCATATTGAGTAAAAATAAGACATGACTTGATATGAAGTAGAACTTGTATTCTACAAGTATTCAGAACATACAAGGTCCGAGTTCAGAAGAGAATCAGGATCCTGGATTAGGGATCCGGGACCGGGTCCTTGTCATAAAACGTTACAGAGAATACGTATTTATACATTTCGGTCAAATAGGAAACAGCATCAAAGTCTGTGACATTGACAGTTAAGACCACCAATAGGAAGTAACATTTGAAGTGACATTGATAATCAGGACAACCAATAAGAAACAACATTGGAGCATGTGACATTGATATCTAGGACGACCATAAAATTGACCAGTAGGAATTAAACCAATAGGAATTGACCAATAATTCTCTTAGGATATTGGATGAATATCCTAACAGTTATGTAACTAGTAACTATGACTATGAGTAATTATGACTCTGTTAAGGTAGCCAAATGCCTCGTCATCTAATTTTAATGGGTATATTAGGTGACTTGCATCATGTTACTCTCGTCTCTAGGTATGCTTAAAACTATTAAGGGTTCACCATAGTCGAATAACGAGAACAAAACAATGAACCAGAGTCTAGGTAGGCTACTGTGATCCGATTGTCCCAATCGTATCAGCAAGAAGTCTTGATATAGCGTAGATAGTGTATTCTACAAACACCCAGCCAGCACACAATGTATCCAAGCACTCAAATTGCATATATTTAAACTCTATAGAGACGTCGTTGGGACAGTCACAAAAATAGTACACTGAAATAACACACCAACCAATCACAGCCAATGATTTTCCTGGTGTGAAATGCAATCTCAAGGTCTACTAACTGATCAGTCCATGAAATAAATCCAAAATAAAGATATTTATCAAGCCAGTTCTGGGGATCTAACATCCCCAACAAATAAATGGTGCCTTTTGGGGGTTATGGTGGCGGCTACCTCTTCTTGGTCCAGCCAGGCAACGTGGCGTTGTGTACAGTGCTGTGGCTAAAAGCCGTTCTGAACGCTTAGGATGCTGTGCCTTGCACGGCCCAGAATAATGGCACGTGTTTATGGTCGCAAGACCGTGGATGCGGCTTTGCCACTCTGGGGGATTAGGACCGAACGTCTGTAAGTTTGAATCCCGTCCACTGCGTGTAGGTCGATTTGAAATAATGGGATATGGCTTTCCAGGATTCTTGGAGGCGGCCCTAGACGATTTGTTTGGGGAAGCAGCCGTAAAGATCCAGAACTATTCACGCCGACCCTATGTGGTTGTTCCAAACACTCTGCATCTCCGTGCAGTGTGTCCACTGGCGTCGAGGCCCGTTAGACAAGGGTCTACAGCTGGGTTATGTGACCCAGTGCTGAAAGGGTACTGAATGCCAATGATGTCTGCCCACCTTTAAATACCGGCTCAGTGGTTCGACGGTTAGGCGTACAATACCAGAGGTCGCGGGTTCGAATCCTGCGGGGTCCAGGAGTCGTAGATGCGCACTGCTGAGGAATCCCATACCAGGACGAAACGGCCGTCCAGTACTTCCAGGTTTCTAATGGTGGTCTAACAATGATCCATCCATGGTTTCAAAAATGTGTAACTTAACAATCTTCACATCCCCGTACTGTGATGATTGACACAACTTATCAAATAGGATCAAATCAACCTGTCAAAATTTGGATCAGAACCAATTTTAACCATATTGATCAGTGATTTGAAATATTGATGTGTAATTTCATAGTCACTCAATATCCCATCAGTCAGTTATTGAGTTATACATGTAAATCAGTTCAAGTTGTCATACCCTATTAACAGACACACAAAGATGAGATTGTTAGGCTGATTCTCGGAGTAGAAGAATTAATAACAGTATCAGCGATAACACGAAAGATTAAGAATCGAAGATAGGGTTAAAGAAGATATAAATCAGTGAGAAATTCAGAAGAACATGGATCATTACAAACCGTAAAAGAAAAAGACACATTCACATGTGCATCTAAATACACTTCATAGTTTGTAGACATGGAGTAATTAAATGAATTTCGAATAAACAGTAATTTAAATGACCTCACTACATTATTTTATTTCTTGATAACAAGTGTGATTCAACCAATTTACGTTAAACATAGAAAAATAAAAATGTTATAATCACTGAAATGAACAAATTTTACTTAGTCACATGTTCAACTATACACGTTGTTGATGATGTAACACAGACAATCTCTGCTTGTACATGTAAACTTTAGTCAAACATGGAATAGACTGTTCTAATTTATTCAAAATTTGTATTCTATGAAAAATAAAAGAATATGAATATCATATAAGAATTCGTTTCTTCAAAGTTGAATATATATATATATATATATATATATATATATATATATATATATATATATATATATTATATTGAACAGGTTTGCAAGTTAATAATACATAAATTAAGCAATACGTATCATTCATCTCCATCGTTGCACAAAGTTTACTATGTATATACTTGTTTTGGAATACTGTTAGCGTTTAAATGTCCATCTGTCTATCTATCCATCTATCTATCTATCTATCTATCTATCTATCCACACATCTATCTATCTATCTATCTATCTATCTATCTATCCACACATCTATCTACCTATCTATCTATCTATCTATCTATCTATCTATCTATCCACACATCTATCTATCTATCTATCTATCTATCTATCTATCTATCTATCTATCTATCTATCTATCTACCTATTCACACATCTATCTATCTTTCTATCTATCTATCCATCTATCTATCTATCCACACATCTATCTATCTATCTATCTACCTATTCACACATCTATCTATCTATCTATCTATCCACACATCTATCTATCTATCTGTCTGTCTACTTGTAAATTGTAAAAGTTAAATTTGGGTAATATCTATTCATATACTGATTAATGTACTTGTTTGTATTACTAAATAAAAGTATTTAACATTACTTACAAAGTATTACAGAGGTAGACAATTTTTCAACTTGTTTCTTACAATCTAGTATCTAGTAATAGATTTCAGTGCCTATTTCATAGTAAGTTATTATAAAAAATACTAACGAGCCATTCAACTCTGTCTGGAGCCCATTCGGGGCAACTGCCGGTTCCAAAACCGGATAAAAGAAGAGGGTTGGGATTGAGGTTAGTGACCTTATCCTGTGGAAAACTAACTCGTTGAAAAAGCCTAATTCCTTCAGAAGTCTTGAGGCTGAAGCCCCATCTGACAACAAGGGCAACCGAGAAGTGACAACCACCCTCATATCCATAAAAGCACACGAGACCAAATCGGTCACAATCAAATCCTTGAAGGAGCCATTTTTTTACTACTAGTTATACATTAAAAACGAATTTGTGCCGTATAATGACGAATTTCCATGAACAATGTTTAAACCTAAAAAACCAAACAAGGATTGTTAAGTCGATAAAAAAGATGAACGTAAAAATATTCACATATTTTTTTAAACTGTAATACCTTTTAAGGTATCAGTGAACTTGTAAAAAGTTTCATCGGAAAGAAATTATATCTCTTAACTAGATGAATAAGAGCGAAAGTGTTATTAAAACATAGATTAGATTAAAAAGGATGATTGCGTTGCTGCACACTGATTGGCTCTTTCGTATCCAATCAGCGCTAGCTAATATTGAGGATACATTCTAGAATCTTCTCATGTAAGAAAACTATAAATATAATAACATCTTTTACCTTTGAACCGTCTGTCTTCCATCTAACCTTGTTATTGGAATATAATCTATTTTTTCCTGTTCAACCGTGTGTTCTGACTGCGGGAGAACGTTTTCGACGGAAATGGTGTCCGAGAATACTAATAAGTATTTGAAGGAGGAACAGCTAGGTTGTAATGACAAGAGAGAAAATTATAACAAAAAAGATAAACACTGACCACAAACCAGGAGAATTTTTTTTGAAGAAAAAACTACCAGTTGATAGAAATAAATTAGGTGTTGCATTTTCAAAATAGATAAATGATCTTTTCAGGCAGAGATATGGAGGTTTGTGTTTTTACACATTTGAAATCATCAATCAATCATTGTTAGACCAACACCATTAGAAACCTGGAAGCACTGGACGGCCGTTTCGTCCTGATATGGGACTCATTAGTGGCAGTGCCCATCCATGACTCCTGCACCTCCTCGCAGGATTCGAACCCAGGACCTTCGGTGTTATGCGTGAACGCCTAACCATCGGACCATTGGGCCGGCATCCAACGGTGTTCATGTGTAACTCTGATTGATCTTCCATCCCTACCTAGCACTAGTTTCCTAACTATAGCATTGCTTACTTGGCTGTCGCAAGATAAACGAGCAATGCTTCGGAGACACTCATGATCAAAAACAAGCAACCTACGAATATCCTTTTCTCTGACTTGTCATGTTTCGAAGCCATGAAGTAGGACGCAGAGAACTACTGCGCAGTACACTCGTCTTTTGGTTAGCACACGTATATCTTGCCTACGCCATAAGTGACACAAGTTTACAAAAGCCGATTGAGTCTTCTGTATCCTGCTCTTCGCAGGATTCGAGGATGCGTACTGCCACTGATGAGTCCCATACCAGGACGAAACGGCCGTCTTTCATTGCTTCCAGGTTTCTAATGGTGGTCTAACAATGATTGATTGATGATTTCAAATCAGTGAAAACACAAACCTCCAAAACTCTCTGTAAAATGTAAACAATTACTCATCATACATTGAACATCTAAACTATCGACATTGATTAACATATCGTTTTCTAATCTTTTTTTTCAACCCAAAAGCTCCTGATCCACCTGTAAATGTTACATTTATTGAAATTAGATCAACACAACTACGTGTTGTATGGACACCTCCTCCTACTACTACTCAAAACAATTCAGCATTCAAAATCAATTGTTATCTAGTTAACATACGTCCAACATTTAACATATTCAGTCAACAATTTCAACAATTCAATGTTTGTCATTCCAATGTGTATAACATTAAATCATTATTACCAGGAGTAAATTATACAGTCTATGTTAAATCATTTGATTCCATATATGGAATTGAAAGTTCACCATCAAATTATATTACAGCTATCACTTATCCAGATAGTAAGTTATTGTAGCGTATGTATGTATGTACTTATATGTCCAATTTTTTTTCCCGAATTACTATTCCCTCGTCTTTTTGACCTTGTCAAATATTCTCTATTCTATTGGTTGCTTCTATTCGAATAAGTGTGTGTGTGTGTGTACACCGCTTACTTCATTTATTACATGTCTTAGCTTAATCATGCCTCACCACTGAGGAGTTGACTCACTCACCTTCTCCACGTCGCTTTCTGTGTGAATGATTGTTTGAAATATAGTCATCCAATCGAATATGTATTAGGCATCTGATTACCGCGATAGCGGTAGCCTCGACGAGCTTTGTTTTGTAGTGTTGGAGTAGGTTGGAAGAAAGTTAGGGGCGGCCAAACCAGCACATGGCAGAAATCCACGAAGTCATTGACAAGTGGACTGAGTCATGTGGGCGGTAGTTGTCGACTACCTGGTTGAGGTCCGCGAGAAGATAATAATCGATGGTTAGAGACCCTGAATGACATGACTCAAAACCGTTTGTAATGGCGTCGGTTCATTTATTCTCTGTGTTCTCTGAAATCCTAATCTTCTGGATTCTTCAACATCTCTAGTTTTGGCTTTCTAAACTTATCTCACTGAATTATACTTCTTGAATAATATCTTCTAATCCTAACCTCTCTGATTACTTCTAATACCTTTACTATCTCTACTACTATTGGATTTGAATTGACAATTACATCTGTGTGCTAATGTGGTATGGCGACATGAACTGATGTACTTACGTACGAAGTTCTACGTTGCATCTAACTGACTGACTGACTGACCACTATCGCACAAATGCGATTCATCTAACTATGACATATATGAAAACTGAAAGGGAGATTTATTTCATAACCTATTCAATAGTTTATAAATATCAGAGTCTAACGCAACCACAATGTGGTGAGCCCGACGTCGAATATAACGGGGTCGCCAAATTATCTTTTATGTTGAAGTCACTGATGTTTTTATTGTGTTAACGTCAATATTTATTTTTAATCTCAAACAGAGTAAGTCTATTCAAGAACAACACAATGTATATTTGTACCATCTTGATATTGGTTCCACGACTAATTGTACGCATGCATCTGATTTCAAATATGCCTTTAGTTGAAATAGTCTTCCAATCTCCCACAATGTTCGAATATTCCATGTACCTAAAAAATGGTTGCTCTGGTTGTCAGAAGTGGCATCGGCCTCGTGACTTCCTAGGCAACTGGGCTTTTATCACGAGACGTCATAATTCTTCTTCAAACTCCCAGGGCAGAGTTATAATTGTCTGATTGATTTTGTATGGTGAGCGTTTTTTTAGCAAGTTAATTTTTTCGTGGGATGAGGTCGCCAACCCCATGCTTAACCCTCCTCCTTTATCCAGGCTTGGGACCGGCAGTAACCCCTAAGGTTCTACAGGCGGAGTTAAATATTCTTTAGCTTGATAATCAAAACTTGAAATTTGCAAATCCTTTTAACTTGCTTTGAAATGACCAATTAGTGTTACTCCATCTTCAAGCTGAACTTTCAGCGAAAAACCATTATGATGAAGATTCGTTTTATGAGCTGGATATTTATTTTGTTTGTGAAGCTTTCATTGTTCTTCTTTTGAACAATATCATCAGCACATACTTATGAATGAGAAGTGAAGTATTCGAATTTCTTCACGTATGAGTCATGTTGGAAAAATGCTGAAATACTGGATAGAAGGAGTATCAAGAATACTATTGGGTGATTCTTAGTAGCTTGGCACTCAGGTCAATTGGCAGTCAAAAAACACATCGTTATTGATCTAATTTATTAACCAACCAGAAAATTCATGGGCAAACAAGATCAAGAAACAGATCAAAAAGAGGGATACAATCAAAATAAAGATGCTGACATCGATAGGTCAAAGATCAATGCCAAATTCGAATACCTTACTTCTCTACCTGAAGTTTATGCTGATAATGTTGCTCAAAAGAAGAACAATGAAAGCTCCACAACCAAAACATTCAGATCAGAGAATGGAATTCCATCGTACTCATCCACTTGAGCTACAAATGCTCTCCATTATCTCAAAATCAGATGAGGAAAAACTATCTACATTAAACTGTTTTTGATTACTGAGTTACATTTGATAAACAGTGGATGGGCTTTAGTTGATTAGTAACCTTATAATTTTATGTAAGCTTTAAACTCAAGCCTACTTTCTTATACATTCGATAAATGAAGTATTACATTATTTTACTCAGAAATCGTGAATCATTCATCGTTAGACTACTGTTAGAAACCCTGGAAAAACTGGATGGCCGGTTTGTCCAACTATGGGATTCATGTGAAGTGCACATCTGAGATGTCCATCACAGAGAATCGAACCTAAGACCTTCTGTCTCACGTGCTAACGTTTAACCTCTAGACCAATCAGTGGACATTCAACGGCGTTGATGTCTACGTTTGGTCAATCTAAGGGTTTTTCGCAACTCACCAATTGTCTTTGATGGGTAACTACTTACACCTAACAGGGTTAAACTCCACTAGTCACAGTTTCTCACTAGAACGCTGAGAATTTTCCCACCAAACTAGTCACTGGTCGACACATTTTACGATTTTTGATTATAGAGTTAATGGCTGATTGTTTTTGTGGAGCTTTCATTGTTCTTCCGAACAACATCATCAGCACAGACTTCACATAGCAGAAGTGAAGTATTCGAATTTTTCCAGGTTAGACCCTGTAGCTTGTTCTGCTAACCTCGATCTTGATTGGTTGTTGTTGACCTTAAACCAGTCGTTGTTTTCACCTTTGTTGTTTTGGTTGTATCCCCCTTTTGATCTGATCATCCTACCATACGTAAAAGACATATCGGAACATACAGCACGACTACTGAAACGATTTGGAATTTGGTGTGGCACACAAACCAATAGAATCACTTCAATCAATCCTATATAGACCAAAAGACAAAATGACAAAGGAAGGAAAACCAAATATCATCTACAAAATAAATTGCTCAGACTGTAAAAAACAGTACACAGGACAAAGTGGACGGTCTCTTCAGCTCCGTTTACGTGAACATCAATTAGCAGTCAAACGCCATGACAACGCTTCGCTGATATCAATACACACCGACAATTGTGGACATACATTCGATTGGGACAATGTGGAAATACTGGATAGAGGGAGGACAAAGAACACTAGAGAATCTTTAGAAGCTAGACACTCAGGTCAATCAGCAATCAACAAACACATCGACATTGACCCAATAATTTATCAACCAATCAGAAAAATCATAGGTGACATAGAATCAAGAAACAGATCAAAAGAAGGATTGATTATGTTGTTCAGAAGAAGAACAATGAAAGCTCCACAACCAAAACAACCAGCTCAGAGAAATAAACACCACCACACTCAAACAATGCAATATCTTCAAGCAAGTTCTTCCTGTCTACAAAAATGAATTGTTACATACAGTTAGTTTTTTTGTGGGATGGGATCGTCAACCCCATATCCCAAGCCTCCTCCTCTTAGCCAGGCATGGGCAGAATTACAATTTTATATGTATTTACAACAACTCATAATAGTTCAAGCATATCAAATTGTTTTAAAACGAACAATATTATTATTGTTGGGGATGTTAGATCACCAGAACTCGCTTGATAAATACCTTATTTTCGATTTCACGTTCGCCAGCCTTGTCTGATCAAATGACCTTGAGATTTCATTTCCCACCAGCAAAATCCTTGGCTGTTATTGACTGCTGTGTCATTTTAGTGTGCTATTTTCGTAACTGTCCCAAGGACATTTCTATGATGTATAAATAAACGAGAGTTGTGTATTTGATTGTATTGTGTAATTGCTGGGTGTTTATAGAATATACTTTCTACTCTTATCAAGTCTTCTGTTTTGAAGTTTGGGATTCAAGGTAGCCTACCTGGACTCTGGTTCATTGTCTCGTTTCGCGTTTATCGACTAAGGTGAACTCGTAATAGCTTCATGCGTACCTAGTGAAGACTATATCAATTTTCTTGTAAATGATAAACCACTGGACAATGGGCTGACAATGTGGGATGAGGGCTCGCCAACCGCATGGCCAAATCTCCCCTTTTATCAGAGCTTAAGACCGGCAATAGCTACTCAGAGGAGTTCCAGCCGGAGTAAAATTTTCTACGTATTAACATCAACTGAATTTAAAAGTAATGTAACTGCTAAGAAATCTTTCCTATGAATCGGTATATTTTTTCTTGTTGTATTTGTTTTGATTTGATTCGATTCAATTGTTTCTGCCGTTTCAAGAACCAATGCCACCAGAAAATCTTACAGCAGTCAATATCAAATCAAGTCAATTTACTATTCAATGGTCACACAGCAGGTCAGATGTTACATTTACACATATTTGTTATGTTATTTATGTAAGACCAACTTTACACATTAATGATCCATTTCAACAATACAATAATATATGCACAGAACACAATCAATACACATTGAGTTCATTATTATTTCAAACTCATTATACGGTATATTTGAAATCATTTGATCAGAATTATGGCTTGTATAGTGATGCAACTAAATCATTGTTAATTTATACTTATCCAACATGTAAGTCATTTGATTTGGGTTGTTTTATATATCATGATTATGATTACTTATTGACAAATGATTTTTATTGAATGAGTTAATTTGTAAATAGGGATACTAACTACTACTACTACTACTACTACTACTGTGGTGCGCACTACTTATAAGTAATATATGACGTGAGTGAAAACGTAATGTCTGGCAGCAGAAGATAGGTGAAGATCAAGAAAGGAAGAAGAGTGGGAACACAATGGAATTTGTATGAAACGCATGAATAGTGAGTGAAATGTGAGACAATGGATTGATGATGGATTGAAGATTTGCAAATTAACCGTTTACGATATGGTTTTCTCATTTTACTGAGTAACTCTGTAATTTTCGTTAAATACAATTCGGTTGCCCTCACCTGTGTTCTCCTTCACTACATGACTTCGCCCTCAGACCTTAAGTAGCTGCTTTTAGTCTCATCATTCTCCAATGGACCTGCGTGGCATGAGCAAATCTACAGGAACATACGTTCCAGACAATAAATCTCTGTTGGGTCATCACGATAGGTCAGCCCGACCACCACTTGTCAAGGTAGCAGCTACGATCGTGATTTAGACTGACAATTACGTATCTGTGCTAATGGGGTATGACAACATGAACTTATGTACGTAGGTACTTCCTAAATTCTACTGTATAAATGACTAAATGATTATTTATCACGACACTAAACTTATCTAAAAGGCTACAATGTTTCTTTACAATTATTCTATGCCAAAATTCTTCAATCTATATATAACACTGTGAACACATCTCAAAATGTTATTCAATTCTTTTTTTTAGTTTCATATTTTTCACAATTAATGTAATGATGTATGTGTTAACTTTAAAATCGATTTATTTCATTCCAATTAACAAATATTAACATTTTTCAGATCTTCAACTACCAGTCAACATAACAATTTCACACATTGATGTATATGGTTTTACTATACACTGGAATCATCATCATCCTTCAATAATACATGATCGTACATTGGATAATAAATTTTATTATTATGTATTTATCAAACCATTAGACGATCGAACCAACGAAGCTATAATGAAATTCAATGCTGGTTTATTAACTACAAATTTTCATATTTCTAATCTTTCATCCAATACATGGTATGCTGTATATTTGCAAAGCATATATATAACTACTGATTATCAAATTAGTAGTATAAAGTCAGAAGAGATTTTTGTACGTACATATCCTGAAAGTAAGTGATGATAATCAAAAATGCTCGTTGAGAATAGTTTTTTGTTTTTTCTGACAAACATCATTAATATGACACATTTGAAATCATCAATCAATCAATCAATCATTGTTAGACCAGCATTATTAGAAACCTGAAAGCATTGGACGACTTCATTAACAGTGCTGATGAGTCCTATTCTAGGACGAGACAAACAGACAGATACAACGTACAACTTCGTACATAAGTACATCAGTGCTCAGGTTGCCATACCACGTCAGCACGCAGATGCAACTGCCAGTCCAGTGCATTCAGGTTTCTAATAATGATGGTCTAACAATGACTGATTTATTGATTGATTGATAATTTCAAAAGTGTAAAACGACACTAATCTCCATAACTTTAATTGAAAATGTCATTAATATTGTTTACTTTAGTTATTAGCATTCAGATGTTGACAATCTGAAAGAGTTTAGTTAAAAGTTAATGATCGGAATCGATTTGGATTGATCGTAACATTGATAATAATAACAAAAGTCTTCTCAAAAAGCTAGAAATAAGCGATTAGGGTAATGAATGAACGGTGTTCATATATATGAGTAAAGCTCAGTTAGTTAAAATAAGGTTATCAATATTTTCATCATATGACATTAGTTTAATAAATTCACAATTGTATAAATTAACCCCTCTATTGTACAAGGATAATTCTATATTAGTTTACAGGAGAACCAACGAGACTGACTGTTCACATGTTAACATTTCAGTTTAAACAGTTCGACTCAATCGCGTGGTCCAACCACTACACAGGTATTTGAAAACCTGGTAGACCATTCACACCATTTTATATACATTAGTACACATATATGTTGATTAATTCCCATCCATGATCGCGTCAATCAATATGCGCCGCGTGAACATGCATGAACAGGACATTTCGACCCATTACGCTTACATGACTGTCAAGCTCATTATTATTAGCAATGGTTATAAGCGATACAGCCTTCCAGTGACAATGAGAATGTTGCAAAACAACCACCATCAGTATCAATGAAATCGATCACGCTGCTAACCAATTTTGTATATGGATTGTTAGTACTACTAACCAAAACAATGCTAAACCATTCACAATGTTCATCATAACGAACCTCTGATCTCATAGGAAACTTTCATCTCTAGCACCTCCGTTTGCGTATTTTAACATGACATACTTTGATGTTTATTATGAAATTTTCCGGGTGAAGAAATATTTTATTGGAATTCATGAATCGAATAATGTTATATGACCATTAGAAACCTGGAAGCAGTGGACTTCCGTCTTGTCTTGGTATCGGACTCTTCAGCAGTGCTCATCCACAACTCCTGCACCTCACAGGATTCGAACCCACGACCCTCGGTCTTGCGCGCGAACACCTATCCTCTGGACCACTGACCTGGTTGGCATCCAACAGTGTTAATGTCTAACTTCGATCAGTTCATGGTCATACGTAATCTCATACTCTGTCTTCGGTGGTTACTGTTGTTAGGATCGTCACTAGGTACGCTTAAAGCTATTACGGGTTCACCGTAGTCGATAAACACGAACGAGACACTGAACCAGAGTCCAGGTAGGCTACCCTGATCTGAAACGGCTAAAGAGAAGTCTTGATATTGCGTAGAAAGTATATTCTACAAACACCTAGCAAGCACAGTGCAATCAAGCACACAAATCTTGTTTATTTATACATCATAGAAAGGTCCTTGGGACAGTCACAAAAATAGCACACTGAAATGCACAGCAGCCAGGCACAGCCATGGATTTTCGTGATGGGAAATGAAATTTCACGGTCAACTGATCAGCCCATGTTGGCAAACGTTAAATCCAAAATAAGGCGTTTATCAAGCGAGCTCTGAGGATCTAACGTCCCCAACAGCTGTCTACACACGAACGGGGTTGAAGGCCATTGTTCACGACTTTCCACCAGAACTCGGAGAAGATTCCTGACGGAGCTAGTTACCAGTGAGCACAGATACATGCATTACAGGGTTGTGAATATTGTTAAGTTTCACATTTTTATGAATCCTATACCCCAACAAAATGGCCGTCTGTCAGTACTTCCATGATTTCTAATAGTGATTGATTCATGATTTTTACATGTGACACTCTAACAATCATCTTCACAACCTCGTAATGTAAATATTTATACACACACACGCACACCTACAGTTACATGTTATGATTCTTATTGTTTCTTACTCTATTTGCCTTTTTTTTCCAAAATTCATCGAAACTCCAAAAGCTATTCAACGTGATAGCCTTAATCAATTGACAAATTTGGCGTTACAAATTCCATCTAATCAACCAGCAGAAACTTCGCTTCAAAAAGATACTATGATTAGTCTATATTTACCATTATCAAAATTAAATGATTTAAAACCAAAAATTTACATTGTTTCACTTGTAGTGAAACCAACTAGAAAAGATGATGAACTTATTTGTTCTGAAGGTTGTACAATGAAAATGAACTACACTGATATCAATGATTTGAATTTAATTGAATCGGTTAGTGAAGTGTAAAAAAACTTTCGTTTTTTTAATAAATTTGTCATGTTTTTTTAATACATTTTTGAAACCATGAATCGATCAATGTTAGACCACCATTAGAAACCTGGAAGCACTGGACGGAGCTCTCGTCCTGGTGTGGGACTCCTCAGCAGTGCGCATCCACGACTCCTGCACCTCCTCACAGGATTCGAACCCAGGACCACCAGTATTGTAGGCGAACGCCTAACCATCGGACCACTGACCTGGCCGGTATCTAACGGTGTTAATGTCTAACTTGATCAAATTCACAGAGTTGCGCAACCTCATACACAGTCTTCGGTAATAGTTACTGTCTACACTTGAACAGGTTGAACTTCACTAGTCACGTCTTCTCAACTAGAACTCGGAGAATATTCCTCACGAAGCTAGTCACTAGTGAGCACAGGTAATTTGCATTACGCGGTTGTGAAGATTGTTAAGTTACACATTTTTTTGAAACCATGAATCGATCTATGTTAGACCAGCTGATCAGCTGAGGAGTCCCATACCAGGACGAAACTGCCGTCCAGTGCTTCCAGGTTTCTAATAATGGTGGTCTAACATTGATTGAATCATGGTTTCAAAAATGTGTAACTTAACAATCTTCATAACCCCGTAATGTTTTTAATAGTTTTGTGTAGTCGTGAATTCATATTTATGAATTGAAAACAGTTGGAACATTATTGAATATTGGAAATGAACTTAGAGATAGTTTATCTATGATCATGCATAACATGTTCAATAATTTCGTGATATTTGAATCCTAAAGATTAGATGTTAGTGAGATGATGGAGAAAATTTGTTGCTCAGTTGGATGATGAGTTATTGGTACTATGGTTTGCCTTATTTCTTGTTGAGTTTTTTCTCTTATTGTTTTAACGCTTGCTTAAATGATTCCCAGCTAAATCCTATTGCTTAGTATTCTCTGACCACAATACACTGGACAAGTTCCAAAGAATCTAAAAACACGGTGGAACAGGAAAAGATTATATTCCAAATAGCAAGGTTAAATGAAAATAAGAAGCCAAAGGTGATGGCGAAGGCGAAGGCAAAAATAGATACAACGTTAGTCTATTTATAGCATTTACATGAGAAGCTTCTGGATAGAAATACACGTGATCGACTGGATTAGATTTAGCCAATCAGCCTGCAGCTAACATTACGAGAATTTTCTGCCCTGTTCTCCAAGAATCGATCAGGCGCTGATTGGATAGGAAATTAGCCAATCAGCGCACAGCAACGTAGTCATTCCATCTATGTCCCACTAACACTTATTCTTGCTGTTTTGAGTAATGACTCTAGTGTAGTGAAGATTTCGAGTTTTTTTAAGCATCCTTCGTTCTATAGTTTAATCTTTTGCGGAGCAGTTGTTCTTCTCTTGTTGTTGTTAGGTATTGTTTCGAAAGGTTGACCACACAATTTTTGAAGTTTTTCTTCTGTGGGTAGCTTTGAAATCTTGATTAGTTTATCTTTGAGGATGATTGTTCTTTGTTCTCTGTGTCGTCTGCTTGACATTTCGATCGCCGTTGTCAATGTTGTTAAGTATTCCGATGTGAGTATTGTCTCTAGTTTTCTTTTTTGTTCATCCATGTTGTGCTGATATTTGTGGATTTTGTAGTGTGCATCGGTGATCATTAGTTGTACCATATATCTTCCACATTGTTCCGCTATTCACCATCCCATTGGGCAGTTGATTAGTGGTCTGTATCTGACACTTTTTGGCAGAGCATGATATTCGTGGAGAAAGTAGAGTTGTTCTGGAGGAGAAGCCTGCCTTTTGGCGAAATTTTTCCATTTGCAAACAACAAGAAGCGTATCACTTTCATATGATTTTGAGATGGTAGAGAAAATTTGTAGCTCAGGTGGATGATTGTGGTGGTGTTTGATTCTCTGAGCTGGATGATGTTTTAGTTGTGGAGCTTTCATTGTTCATCTTCTGAACATCAACATCATCAGCAGCACAAACTTCAGGTAGATAGAAGTGAAGTATTCAAATTTCTTCACGTTTGACTCGAAGCTTTTTCTGTTGATCTCGATCTTGATTGGTTGCTGTTGACTTTAAACCTGTCGTTGTTTGCACCTTTATTTTGATTATCACTTAAACTCAAATTCAATGTAGTTCGTAAGTGATTTTCACTACGAACTGATATAGGAGTCTAAAATCTTTAAAAACATTGAAATCTCTTTTCGTCTTAGTTAAGGACTTATCCACAGACTTTAGTTAAATCTGACATTTGAGAAAATTTAGAATAACCCAGTTTAACTAATGATAAAGAGCTACGGGTGCTGTAACTAGATATCTCAATATACTGAATTTCATGATTTATTTTACGCAACTTAGGCCAGTTTACCCCCAAATGGAGCATAGGTGTTATGCTCTTCGCTTGAGATGCTTGGAACGATTACGAGTTCACCTTAGTCGATAAATGAGAACGAGAGAATGACCCAGTGACACTGTAGGCTACCCTTATCCGTTGACCCAAAAAACTGAAGAAAACGTCTTGATATAGCGTAGAAAGTTTGTTCTACAAACACCCAGCAAACATAATGCAATCAGGCACACAACTCGATTTTATTTATACATCATTAAAACGTCCTTGTGAGAGCAACAAAAATAGCGTACTAAAATAACACATCAACCAACCACAGCGAAGGATTTTCCTGGTGAGAAATGTGATCTCAAGGTCAACTAACTGATCAGCCGATGAATAAAATCCAAAATTAAGGCCTTTATCAAGTGAGTTCTGAGGATCTAACCTCCCCAGCAATAGGCCACCGACCTAGTTGTCCAACCTGTGTCCGATGTGTTTCACTGATTCCAAGCACTTCCATGTTGTATCTTTTCATTTGTGCAGCAATTTTGAGCAGTCTTCCGGCCACCCACATCGTTCAAACATTCCATATACCTAAAAGAATGGTTGGTCTGGTTGTCAGAATGTTCATCGGCCTTGTGACTTCCGAATAAATTCAGCTTTCATCATGAGACA